TAAGAATTTACATTCGTGTGGAAGTGGGTAGTATTGTTATAATGTAGATCTACTATTAGATACAGAAAAGAGCGAAGGTTTGTCGTAAACACCACGCTTGATATACGGATTGCCATTTGCAACACCAGTTTGAGCACTCGTTCATGCCCGTCCACTGGTCTGGGTTCCTCACAAATAGGATATTTGTAATTTTAAATAGCATATACGAGATTATTCACACTGGTCGTAATATCATCCTGGCATTAAATAAACCTAACATGACGGTTTATTATTTATCGCGTTTAATTTGACTTATTTTTATATATTTCATTTTCAAGTTTTGAGTGATACCTTAGGTGCTGATACGACGACAGCACTAGATATAAATAAATTAAACGAGATACAATCCGTAAAATTTACTTTATTCTATGTGCTATTCGTGTTAGTATAAGAACATCATCTTCCTGACATTTAGCTTCGGTTGATTCATAGCAAAACGTAGATTTATGAGACTTGTGAGATTTATAATTAGATAGGAGGTGAACTATCAGAGGGCGCCACAATGCCACTGTTCACATCGAGTCCGTATTTAAAGTGAATAAAAATATTGTTTTCTGTATATTAGAAGCTAAAAGTGTATAAATCCGTAAATTTATAATAAGTGATACTCAGACGATATGAAAAATCAAGTGAAAACGCAGTGAAATAAAAATATTTTCAAAATAAAATACTTAACGGTCAACAGTACATCACGTAAATACATGTCTCCGTGATTCTGTTTTATAAATATAGCTAAAGTCTTATTATTCTACTTTTTACTTCATTAATTTATTTTTGTGATGTTAATTTCATGTGAATACGTTATCAAAAAAAAAAAAAAACTATAAATACTTTATCTAATTATTTAAATATTGGTGAAAAAGTGTAAACTTCTACGTAAAAAGTGTGAAACAGCTCATTTTAACGTAAAGTGACAAACTTAACAAAATATTTTACGTAAAACAGTGCCACACAAATTGTGATTTACAGTACCTATTGAAAGATATTGAGCGAAAATTGGAGGGATACTCCATGGACGACTACTGCGTTATAATGATCGGAGAGGCTGATTTTAAAATAACCAAAAATTATTTCGAATTGATTTATTATATTCGTGATATCCTACAGAAGATCAAGCACACGAATATCATAATTTGCCTTCCGACTTATAAGTATGGATACCTAAATAACATCTTAAATTGGAGGGTTGAAACATTCAACAACCTTTTATACCTTGATATAATGACCCATGAACATGCATTCTTATTGGACTCTAATAAAAAAATAAATTATGACTACGACATGTTTCACAAGCATTATGGTTTTGTAAATAATAATGGAATGAATACTATATTCAAAAACTTAAAGGAGTTAATTTTTGAAATTCAAAACTACTACTACTACACGAGCGAAGAGCTTATCATTAATGACCAAGAGTCTCCTAAAGAAATAGAATCTTCGTTTTTTCGAGACTAAATTCTTATACATTATGCATCAAAATATTGCAAGTTTACTGAGCAAGTCGGATGCGTTGATGGTAAATTTGGAAGAACTACTTGACAGATATATAAGTGTTGACGTTGTTTGTATTACGGAACATTTTATGAAAGCAGGATCTGAATATTTTTTAAATCTTCCAAATTATATACTGGCGGAGTGCTTCAGCAGAGAGGACATCAACAGAGGTGGTGCTTGCATTTTAGTTAAGAACGGACTCAAATGGAAAGAACTTCTAGAATTTAAGAGGTTATCAATAGTAAATGTATTTGAATGCTGTGCCATTGAACTAACTGACTATAAAATTGCAATTATATGTATATATCGCGTCCCAAATCGAAGTAACAATTTTGATATATTCTTTGACAAATTAGAAAAGCTTTTAGTGTGTACTTCAAAATTAAAATGTAATAATGTACTAATTGCTGGTGATTTCAACATTGACATGTTAAAAAATAATAATATAACGTCTAACCTAGAATGTTTACTATTAAACTATAATTTTAAATTAGCTCTTAAACAACCGACTAGACTTAGTAGTAAAACTTGTATAGATAACTTTGCACATAACTGTGGAAAGGCATGTAGGGCTGAAGTGTTGGAATTTGGCTTGTCTGACCATACTGCACAATTAATAAAACTCCCGGTTAAAAAAATAATTAAACTAAAACACTGGTACAAAACAATACGAGATTACAGTAAAGACAACATACAAAAATTTAAAATGTGCATGGGAAACCTATCCTTTTCTGAAATGTATACTATGAATGACCCAAATTTGGCATATAATTGTTTTTTGCTAGAATATAGACTTTTCTATAACTTATGTTTCCCATTAAAACAAATTAAAATAAAAGTAACTTATAAACCAAAATGGATATCACATGGACTAAAAATTTGTAGCAAAAAGAAAAGAGCTTTATTGTGGAAATATAGAAAATCACCAACTAGTGCTAATAAACTTAACTACAAAAAAGTATACAAAACTATTTAAAAAAATTATATATCTGACTAAACGAGCCCAAAATAATTACAAAATAAAAACAAGTGACAATAAGTCTAAAACAACATGGCAAATTATTAATAAATCGAGATTAAATTTACCCACTCAGTCTATATCAAAAATAAGGGTAGGCAAAGAGCATATAACTAATACTGAACAAATTGCTGAGGCATTTAACAACTACTTTATTGACAAAATTAAACCATTAGAAGGATGTGGAAAAAATATTGATAGAAACCTCAGACGCATGCTCGGCTCTATGTTTTTGGCTCCAAGTCTACCACTACATATATTTAATATTATCAAAAATATGAGAAACACAAGTAGCGTAGGGCATGACGGCATTGCTACTAAAATAATCAAGTCCGTAAATAAAGAAATTTGCCATCACCTGAGCTATATCATGAACCTGAGCATAGAAAGGGGTATTTTTCCCGATGAACTTAAAGTCACCATCGTGAAACCTGTATTCAAAAAAGCTGACAAAGAATCAATGGAATGTTATAGACCTATAGCCTTAATATCAATATTCTCTAAAATATTTGAAAAATATCTTTATAATGAACTTAATGATTATTTGGAAAAAAATGACATTTTGTGTAGGGAACAAAAAGGATTTCGCAAAAATAAAACAATAAATATGGCACTCTATGATTTTTATAAAAATGTAATAACACACGTTGACAACAGAACACCGGTATGTTCACTATACTGTGATATGACTCATGCTTTTGACTATGTTGACCATAATATTTTAATTCACAAACTCGAGGCATATGGTATTAGGGGCAATGTATTGAGTTTGTTCCAGTCTTATCTAAATAACCGTCGTCAAAAAACGGAAATATGTGGGTTAAATGTAAAGACCAAATCGGAGAACATAAGCTCATCGACAGAGCGTTTGGTAAAATACGGTGTCCCACAGGGCAGTGTCTTAGGGCCTCTCTTATTTATAGTATATGTAAATGACCTCCCAAATGCCACTAAGCAACCTATGACCTTATTTGCCGACGATAGTACTATAACTATTAACTGTGATGACATCTTTTCTTATAAAAATGACATAAATGAATCATTAATATCAATAATAACATGGCTAAATAATAATAATTTGAAAATTAACCTAAATAAGACACACATTATGCATTTTAGCCAAAGACCAATCACCCCATCTAATATTAAAGTAAAATATAACGACACTGTTATTGCTGAAGTAGATACAACCCGATTTCTCGGCTTACAAATTGATCAAAAACTAAATTGGAAAGCCCATATACTAGAACTAAATAAAAAAATAAATAGTTCGGCTTATGCCCTGTTTAGACTTTCTGCTATAGTTAACATTGACGCACTTCTAACAGCTTATTATGGGATAGTCGAATCTGTCCTTAGATATGGAATTATTTTCTGGGGTAACTCAACTGACAGAGAAGTAGCATTTAAAAGTCAGAAAAGATGTATCCGTGCAATGTTTGGTCTTCAGGCTACCGATAGTTGTGCGCCGTATTTTATTAAACACAGAATTCTTACACTTCCGTCCTTATACATAATGGAGACGGCTCTCTTTGTTAGGGCCAATCCCAACCTATTTCCACGGTTAACTGACAAAGTAAAGCGCAACCGTCGTGACGGAAGTAAATTGTATTTGCAACAAGCAAAAACGGCTCTGCTAAGAAAGAGTGTAGTATGCATGGCTCCTAAAATCTATAATAAAATTCCTCAGATGTATAAATCATTGAACAGCAATCTTTTTTAAAAATAAATTCAAAAAACTTCTAATTGAAAAATGCTACTACACTGTAACGGACTTTCTCAATGATAAATTTTGACATTATATAATTGCCTTATACATACATATATTTTTAATTATGACTGTAGTAAGTAATAATCTCGTATTGATAGACTTTGCCAATGTTAAATGAAAATTAACAATCTAATCACTTTAAATTTTACACACCGAATATGACGGTAAGACATGTTGACACTGATAACACTAACACCCAAGAACATATCTCTGCCCATGCATTGTATATCTCACACATGTTTGAGTAAATAAAAAATATCTTATCTTATCTTATCTTATCTTATAAATTATCAAACGACTTCTTTAACAAATTTGTATTGTTCCAGATATATGTGGTATGCAAGATGATGTTGTGACCAGGATTAAGAAGGGAATGCTTCGGTGGTTTGGTCATGTAGAAAGAATGAATGAGGAAAGAGTGACAAAACAAATTTATATGGCAGATGTGAACGGCAGAGTCGGGAAGGGACGCCCTAGAAAAAAGTTTATCGACCAAATTGGCGATATTTTGAAAATGGGCCACGTTAAAAGTGCCCTTAACCGACGAGCATGTATGCGTAGATATATGGATGTAAAGGAGGCGAAAGAGGTATGTCAGGACCGTGTCAAATGGAAGTCCGTGGTCTCTGCCTACCCCTCTGGGTGACAGGCGTGAGTGTTTATGCTTTTATGTTCCAGATATCGCCAGCTGATTGCAACTATGGCGAGACGCTGTCGACTCTCCGGTACGCGAATCGTGCGAAGAACATCATCAACAAGCCGACCATCAACGAGGACCCCAACGTCAAGCTCATCCGAGAACTGCGCGACGAGATCGACAAGCTGCGCGCACAGATCGCACACAACACCGTGAGTTGCACGCACAGTACTCATCCACCGTAACTTAATGGCTGCGTTATACGTGGTAGAGCCACGCTGCAGCTATAATTATGGTTGTAGCACGAATCGGCCGCGGTTGGACCACGTTCTTACAGAATACCAGTGTAAAATAGCAGCTCAATGCTGCTGTGTTTAGTTAAGTGTAGAGAACTGGAGACCATTTTTACTGGAAACGAGGCATTCCATTTTAGTCCTCATGGGTAACAACGCATCTGCATTTTTATTCTTAATTGAGGATAATTGTAGATGTCTATTGACCACAGCATCCATTTATCATCAGGTAGACTGTGTCACCCTTATTCTTATAAAAGCAAGGTCTCCGGATCTTTACACTCAATAAACAAAACATCATTGGCTGGTATTCCGTGAGAGCGTGGTCTATCATAGTTCGAATCGACCATAATATAGCGACAGCGTGACCCTAACGCGTTTAAACCACAAGTTTTTGTTTTAAACCTTTTATTTTAAAGTACCAAATTTTTAATGTCAACTCAATTGTTACGCAATATTAAGTACCTTTTATTTATGTAAACCAGTCTTTTAAGTTGCATTTGTATTTTTATAGAATCCTGTGGAAGCAGAGGCAGGTGTGCTGGCTACGCTTCAGCGCAAGGAGGCACAGGAGAAGGTCCTGACAGAGAAGTGGACAGAGAAATGGCGCGAAACTCAACAGATTCTTCAAGAACAGAAAGCGCTCGGACTTCGGAAGAGCGGCCTTGGTGTGGTATTGGACTCCGATATGCCACATCTTGTGGGCATCGACGACAACCTGCTGTCGACTGGGGTTACTCTATATCATCTTAAGGTTAGCGCCGTTTACTACCTAAATCTGAAAGTAACATTGAGGGTGTTTGGCTTTTAAACCAATTTAATATGTCTTTACTGCAACACAGTATCAGAAAGCCGATATTCTCAATTCGTCTTGGTCAGTCAGAAACGTCAAGAAACAAAAAAATTAAAATTAAAAGCGATAAAATCCGTAAAACTAGTTATATATATATATATATATATATATATATTTTTTTTTTTTTTTTTTGCAGCTGTATCTTGGACACAAGGGATATGTACTAGAGTACCAGGGGATCAGGGGGCGCAAAAGGGTATAGTGATAGAGAGAAGGGGGTGTGGCTTGGTGTCGGCAGGAGGGCGAGACGGTGATCGGCAGCGCGGAGCTGGAGCCGACGCCGGACATCGTGCTGAGCGGCGCGGGCGTGCTGCCGCTGCACTGCCGCGTGGTGCTGCGCGAGGGCGTGGCCACGCTGCTGCCGGCGCCCGGCGCGCACTGCTGGCTCAACACCGTGCTGCTCGACGCGCCCGCCAAGCTCAGCCAGGGCGAGTGCACCACCAGACTGCACACTACACACCCCTCCTCACCGCACCTCACCTACGTTTAAACCCACATGCACAAATAGGGTACAACCCACGTGCCGCTGACCATACTGTCTAGCTGACCTCACATACGTTTGAACCTACTTGCATTAATATAATTCAACCCGCAAAAAGCTCACGTGTCACTACCCACACACTTACCACACCGCTGACCTCTACCTCTGGATTAGTCGAGTTAACTTTTCAACTGTTAACATTAAGACCGATTTACACTTCGACAAGTACAGTAGCGAGTTTAGTTACAGGGCAGTTGACAGTAAACGGTTAAATGGGCAGTAGCGTTCAGACAATGTCTTCTTGGCGAGTTTAGTAAGGACATTATTTCATAGAGTTCGTTGGAGTATGACATTTCAAGACTACAGAATTTTTCCGGTTTTCGTTTAAGATGGTTCTAGGATTACGTCAAGAATTAAATGATCCACTCAGAGAAGTATTAATGGTTGTTGTTAAAAAAGTTTTTCATGAGTGCAGCATCTCGAGCAGGTTTAATTTTACAATTTGAACTTCTACTATTATATAAACATTCGTTTTCTAAATACTCCTGTACGAATTTATACGTGATATCTTCTGTCCATTTTATTATTAAAACTCAATATAAAACGTATAAATATTCAATAAACAGTATCGTACAAACTTTGTGGCGAGTTTCATTATAAAAGTACAATTGTACGTTTTGACGCGCAAACGTTGCGTCCTGTCAACTTATGCACTGAACTAAACTCGTTTACACGAACTGGTTCCGAACGGGTGGCGGGAGACGCGCGGGAGGGCAGCACTTCGCACTTAACTCGCCGAAAAATAGCTTGGCCGGCTATCCCGTTCAACTTAATCGTTAACTTGCTACTTAACTCGCTTATTGCCGTTCAAATGAGGTTCAAACTTAACTCGCTAGGTTCGAAAGTTAACTCGCTACTGTACTTGTCGAAGTGTAAATCGGTCTTTAACGGTAGCTGTGAAAATTAATGGCACTGACATATGCTCAACCACTTCTATATTTTTCTATAGTTTTATATAAACATTAACGATTGTAGAATGTCAACTTGGTCAATCCCCCAGATCCGTTTGGAGCCACTGACGCATAAAAGATTCATTCAACCCACAAAACAACTAAAGATATTTGAAATTTGGATTCAAAACACGAACATCTAATTATAAAATTAGGTTTTGCAATTGGATCGGTATTACTGGCCTAAATAAATAAATGAATGACAATAATATTTGCTTCGGACAGGCTACGACAGTCTTGGACATATAGAACGCGAATATTTATTCCGAGTTGCTTCGCTTTTTGTTTTTAATTTTGCCTTATTTCGACTGTTACTTTTATTGGAATTGTTTTTGTACGTTAAAAGTCAACACTTTTCTTACGTAAAGAATAAGGACATTTTGGCATTTTTGATCTTAGTGTGGGTTGAATCCATTTTGCTTAAAAACATCTATCTTATCTCCATCGTCCATATATTGTACAAACTCTTTGATCATTGTTTCTTCATAAAAATTTTATTTTATTTGGTACATCACAAATACATTATGCATTTAATATAAGCACACACATTCGTCAAACATTTTATGGGCTGTTTCTCATACATCAATTTCATTTTATGCCTTTGTTCTTGTTCGCTATTTATTATCATGTTTTTATTAACACGCTTTCGTATATTCAGATTGAATTTAGTAAATTAATTTTAAACTGACTTCCCGATGAGCTAAAGAATAGAAATTTTGAACATAGGTTACAACTGGATGACAATGTAAGAATATATGAAAACAAAAATAATCTAATTTCCTTATTATGTCTGTTCTGTGCTTATAAATGTTTCTCTCGTTCCATCTACGCTAGATAAATAAAATTAATAAGAATTTCCCCGTTATAGGTTGCATTTTGTTGCTGGGACGTACGAACATGTTCCGTTACAACGACCCGGCAGAAGCTGCCAAACTCCGACAGGAGGGCAGCGCGTCCGTAATGAACCTCTCCCGGCTGTCGCTGCTCTCCTGGTCCACAACCGACCTCGCCGCCAGCACTGAGAACCTCAACACCACGCTGTCGTGAGTTCTATTGTCAGTGTGACTTGTTGCATTTCTCTGTTTTCCTGGTCTAGCAGTTGCTTACTGTTGTGAATATTGCTGCTCATGTACTACTCTACTCTTCAAATCTACCTGTAATAATAACCTCGACAACTAACTGTTGTTTACTGGCTCAAGCATGCTCTCATTTCTGAGTAAGTTGTAAGTTATAGGGGGGTGGGGGGAATTGTTTGCCCTGATGCTTTAGGCTAAATGGCATCAAATTGGCGCACATTACATGCTGTCGTAATATTTTGATTTTATTTAATCATGTCTCATGTTATTATTCTTTATTGTTGTAAATTATATAACATAATAACATAGTAAATTAACATGCAAAATTACTATTAACAGTTCTTTCATTGTAGACGGTAGATATGAACTCGGGTTACTCGCGCACAAAGAAATGGTCTTTTAAAAATAACCTTATGTTTACAGTATTATTTTCACTTGTATTGTGGTGGCATTTTGCAAACATTAATTGCATGGTCAAATATTCGAATCCGAAACGAATCGTAAGCCATAGAAACACTTACTGGATTCCAACTCGCAGCATTCAGCGTTACGTATTTGTAACAGCGACCTGGAAAGTGAGATCAAGTGCGAACGTATTGAGGCGCAGCGTGCAGAGCTGGAACGCGAGCGCCAGCAGTTCCTGCTGCAGCAGCAGGAGCGACAGCGCCGCTGGCACGAGGAGAAAGAACAGTTGTTGCAGGCCCAGAAGAAACTAGACGAGGTGAGTATAATAAGGAAATGAATTAGAGGAAAATTAAATTAATTAGAAAATATCAAATCGAAATGGGTGATGTGTTTATTGAAAAGTGCTATGCTAGAAAAAAGTATGATTATAATTTCACTTATTTATTTATTTTTATTTGTTTATTGCATTCCTTATTAATATATAAGAATACAAGGGCAGACTTAATACCTTGAGGCATTCTCTACCAGTCAACCCATATTACTTTCACCGTATAGTGGCGATGTAAGAACATGCACTACCCCATATCATCCCGTGGATATCGTAAGAGGCGACAGAGGGAAACATATCAGGAGATGGGCAGCAGTGTCTAACAACGACTAAAAATAAAAAAACTCTGCTTGCCAACCCGCGTGCCATGCGTGGCAACTATGGCAAATATTCCCTTGGAGGCCTATGTTCAGCAGTGGACTTTAAGGGGCTGTAACATTACTATTTCTTACAATGATATTATAAGAAAAGAGGTGGATAATATGTTATACGCGCACCGCAAGTGGCACGTAAAAACTATGCTAATTAGCAAACCTGAGCTCAGTCGTCGCGCTATCGTCGCGTCATTGACAATGGCGTTAATAGTAATTCGTGTTTTGTTTTTGCACCGAAAATGCCGTCATATGTGATGAGATTCTGCACAAACTACACAAGAAAAGTTTCCAAAAGTCAAAAGGAATTATATTTCATTCGTTTACTATTTACTTTATTTATTTTCGTATTGTTTACGAATTCAAAAATTACGTATTTTAAAATATATTGTCAGAAAAAATAGAGAGGGATAAAAATACCCCAATGAATTAGTTTGAAAGAGAAGTGATATCGTTTCTGATTAAAGAATATAAAAAACAGATAGGTCTCTTCCGAGTATCGTAATTCAAATTGTGTACATATATTTCTTGTTTTATCCTGTTAGCTCGCTCCTGACACTCCCGTTCGCTCGCGACCGTAATGGCGGGAAAATTTGCAAATTAGCAAATTTTTTGCTATATTGCAAATTTTGCTATATTTTCACTTTGAGACAATATTTATGGATAAAACTTACAGGAATTCTTGTTGAATGTATAAACTATTGAATAAAATTATTTTGGTTGTTAGAAATTATAATAAAATTCATAAATTACCCTTTATAGCATAAGTAGTAGTATATACTTCACTTTTAGTGCCAAAATTACTACTAATTTGAATTCTACACTTTTGTTTTTGGAGAAATTTATATGAAAATGTTTGGAAATATGTATATTTTTATGTTTTATGTGTTTCTATTCGTTACTCATACCAAAATATTAAAATATAAAAAAATTATAATTATAATATTTATCTGTATGACATTTCGAACAATATTTCAAAAATATTTTTGTGTGAATTTGAAATAAATACAACGTCAAGTTATTTGAAATATGTAAGAAAACTATTTTTACTTACATTTTACACTAAAAATAAATGAGAATTGGAAAAATAACACATTTATGACCCCAACCGCCAAAATGGGCGTTCCGTATTTCGAAGTACTTTTGGCAATTTACTTTTCACTTTTTATACCACAAATTATATATCTACGTGTTTACTATATTACAACGAATATAAAAAAGTATAATACTTTCGTTTTTAGTCCAGACACAAATATAAAATTCTATAAAAAAGACTGAGCACCTTCATCAAAGCGACACGTGGAACGCCGAAAGTTCAGAGTGATTTCTTTCTTTTTTTTTTCTAAGAAACATTGCCAGGTTATGGTTTAAAATAAAAGAGCATATCTTTGTCTTTGATACTATTATCTATTGCATAGTGTCTTTGGTTTTGTTTTAATTAAAAAAATTATTTTTCAAAGGGTAGTACTTGTGGTACACATGTGTATCTTGATCGAGCGAGCGTAAGGTGTTTATGTTTGGTACACATGTGTATGCTAATCGACTCTACAGGTGGTAAAATAACTATGTCATTATTAATTAATAAGTTCAATTTATTTGTTTTGTAGCGTAGCGAAGTGGTATATACGTTCGTATATAAATAAATGTTACAGCACCTTATGTGATAATAAAATTTTAATAAAATCAATAATTTTTTTATTTCCCTACTTTTAATGCATATTTACCACTTTATTACTTTTACTACGTGCATTTATATATATCTCTAGGTGAACTGTATGCTCATCCTCTATTTTTATTAAAAGAATGTTATTTTTTAATGCGAGCTGTACCTGTCTGATTATATTTAAAATGATTTATGTAAACATGTTGGTACGCCGGTTATGGGAGATATTAGAGAACGTAGTATTCCATATTGTCGGATGGGTGTCGTAAGAGATAACAGAGGGAAACTGAAATAGAAAATGGGTGACAGTATTTTCATACTATTCGGAATGCAGATTGTTCGTAATTAGTCATCCATTGCGCCGTAAGCACTAATTTATAATATCATTTTTATTAGCATAGAACTTTATGTATTAATATAATTTTAGTTTTTATACCAATAAATACTTTCACTTATCTCTTGTTATCAATTACAAAAAAAGAGCGCGAACCGTGTATAACTCCTTTTTGGTTTAGCCAGATATGCTTATTCAAATCCAGCTCGAAAGACCAAAATAGACTTGTGTATGTATGTATGATGATGATGAGGGTGAGCGTGTTCGGTGTTAGGAGCGCACGGCGATGGAGCGTGAGTACGCGTCGGCGTGCCGGCGGCTGTCAGGCGACTGGCGCGCCCTCGAGCGCGGCTGGGCGCTGCGCCGCCGCGCGCTGCGCTGCCGCCAGCGCGAGCTCGCCGCACGCGCATACCGCCACGCCGCTGCCGAATGCGCTGCGCGCGCGCACGTGAGTATACACGTACACAAACACGCATACACATATGCACACACACACACACACACACACACACAACATACACACTACACCGCGCCGCGCTGCCGCCATCGCAAATTCGCCGCGCGCGCACACCGCCACGCCGCTGCCGAATGCGCTGCGCGCGCGCACGTGAGTACACACGTACACATACACACGCACACGTACACACGTGCACACAGGCGATAACACGTACACATGTATACACTGGTACAAACATGTATACACTACACCGCGCTGCGCTGCCGCTAGCACGAGCTCGCCGTGTGCGCCGCGCGCGCTTACATGAGTACACATACACGTACACATACAGACACGTGTACACAATACTGCTCTGCGCTGCCACCGCCACGCTGCCTCCGAGCATGCCACATTCGTGCTCGCGACCACATGAATACGTACACATGCGCGCACGTACATGTACACGCAAGCGTTTACATACATACACGCACGCACGTACACGTAACGCCCCGCATGCGTATGCGAATACGTACTTATAACGAGCGCCAGTTTGCCGACAGCTTCAAGATGTCACGTGTACACGGAAGCGTTGCTAGCGATCCTGCGGGATGAGTCATGTTGCTTTCTAGAAAACTATAAAAAGGATTAAAAATAACACATTTCAACGTATTTTTTTTATTTTCTTTTATAGTTTTCTATTAGCATTACGTTGTAGAATGTCAAGTGCGCTAGCTCGAATCAATCAAACAAGTGGATGGGGTGATTAATGGAAAATCTACTCACGACTTGGACATTGAAATACAAACGTGTTTACTAGTTCAGAAACCTTGAATACAACCATATTTAAAATATTACAACCACATAGTTACCAACTTCTCATAAATTACGAACACATTCTTAAATATCTCTATCTAACGATTAATGCCGCTTATCCACATAGCCAAAATCTAGTGTTGCAGTCAGCTATTAAAAGAATTAAAAAAAGAAACATACAAACGCAATTAAAATTCAGCCTAATAATAAGCACAAACACTCCTTCCTTGAAATCGCGCTGGGAAAAAAAAAAAAACAAAAAAAAATTCGTGTGTGTGCAATTAGTTAAAAGTTTAATTAAAAAGTAAAATAATATAAAGTTAGAGTGGCAAATCTTTCCTTGAGTAGTTAGTGATTAGAAGGACGGTTGTTGACGTACTGCTGATCGTTAGCTTGCAATTAAAAAGTAAATTTAAATACACGCGACGCCCGGCTAAAGTAGGTTGCAACGTTTACTAAATAAAAATGTGTGGTGTAACCATACACATTATATTGATCAAATAAATAATTATTTTAGTATTAAAATAAAGATGGAATCCAATAAATTATATCGACCTTTACTTAAAGCTAAATAAAGTAAATACAAATGTACAATATAAAACACAAAAGTTAAATTTACTGCATGAAAATATTTTATAAGATACGAAAGCTGAAATATCAAACACATTTCCGATAAAAATTTGATAAAACTTGTAAAAAACGTGTTATATCGAATTTAAATGTTTCACACCCCTAATAAGTTATAGAGTACGATTATTGTTTACATAGACTACGGATGACAATCCTAATTTTAAGTTTATTATCTTTGATAATTGATAATGGAGAACAAAATTAATCTGCTCACATTTTTCCAATTACATGTCCAACACGCGAGCAACCCGGGTTCGATCCCCGCCGGCACTAATGGAATTGTTAATTGCAATTTTAAGTGCCGATATACCACGTGCTCGCCGGCCGGTGAAGGGAAACATCGAGAGGAAATCCGCATATCTGAGAAATAAGAAAGAAAGATAGATAGATAAATAAAAGCGTTTATTTGTTTCTCCAAAGTAGAGTATTATGAAAAAAGAAAGAATGATATTTCGAAGACATATGAAGCTCGCCAACACGCATTGGGGCAACACAATGGACATTTCTTTGCCCTAAAACTCTCTTAAAAAGGAGGTTTGAGCAGTGGAACATATAGGCTGTAAAATTAACATTATGTGCAATACAAATTTGGTCACACTTTTTTACGTGTTCTCTTATTACCCGTCACTGACCTTCACATCAATAAAAAAGTCACAAAGTATCTTAATAACATTCTCGAAACAAACAAATATCGTTACATCAGTCTGTTATAATCAAACTGTCCTATACATTCTATTACACTGCACCATTAAGAATTGTTTTCTACCAAGTGTTTGTTCGAAAATGCAGTGAGATTTTATACCATTTGACTGAAGTACATCTTTCGGTTACAGTACTAAAATTCAGCTTACTTAACAGTCATAAATCCATATAATGAAGAATAATAACTCGACTGGCTATTTTATTAGCTTTTAATTACCCTAGTATTTTCTATCACAATTTTAGTTCGTGAACCAATAGTAGTCGCCGCATATCGATGCACGTTCACTTCTGCCGTAACAATGATATTATTGTTTATATTTTTCTCACCATTACACTTTAGCTTCGCCCCAGTTTGTAGAGTACGTGTTTTAGTTTATTTTTGTGTCTATTATTTTGTAGTTAATACAGCGATACATCCAATTTTTCACCACGTAAAGTACAATTAAGTCAATATATTGACAGTGAAAACGTTAGAGTATAAAGTTAAGTATATTATGTATAAGTAATGTGTGTTTAGTGTAGTGTAGTCAACGTGTTATTTTTTACACTTAATATTATTATTTATAGAAATAAGCTGTTTATTCCTAATATTTTTACTAGTTACACTTTAGTGATTTTTTTAAACTTATAACGAAAATTTAGAAGTTATTCTGTTTTATAATAATGTTTTGTTTATTTTATAAACAACGCTACTTTGGTATTTTAATTTTCTTTTATATCTAATTACAGCAGTAAGTGTTGCGAGACCATTGCTGCACAATAAAGCTGCGTGCACAAAATTAAAATAAACACACATACATTTATAACAATATAAAAATCACTAAAATCAAAAATGAAAATGGTAATTACCCTACTGCATAATAGTTTTCTGTAGGAATATTAAAAATTAAAAAATAAACCCTCATTAAAATAACTTTTTCTAAACTAAAAATTAAACTTTAAAAAATTGTAAACGTATCGCTGTTGCTTTTTTATTTTATTTGCTATATGTATATGGAGCACTGAATTTTATGTAATTTAAAGTAAGTTAAGTAAGTTGTAAATTTTTTTACGAGGATGATTTTATGCATACAAACTCTTTTAGTGTCATATTTGAGATGTGAATGAAATTTCGTGCTCCAAGCGCATCCTTTAAGTTGCTATTCCCCTATGTTGCGTAGATAGAAAAAGAGGAGGCTGTGATATCGAACCTGCGAGAACAAGTTGGTGGCAAGAAACAGGAATTGAAGACTTCTGTGGAAAATAGCATCAAGAAACTGCTAGCAAAAGGATGCAGATTAGATGAGGTTTGTTGTGTTTTAATGTAAATCAAGGTCCTGCGGTGTTGGACAGAAGGCAATGTATGCATTTTACTTAATTATTTATTATACCAATCCGCCTTTTGAAGTGTTATCTATCTATCTATTTGCTACAGTTGCTTGGCATAATATTGTATAAGTACATTTAAATATAGTATTATTTTGCAATTATTATTAGCATCGCCCAAATTTGCAGAGTAGTTTCAGAATAAGAAAAATTAATTTTAAACAATTCCAAAAATTCTGTCCTTTTTATCTTTTAAATTCAGAATGCGTGGTAATACATTATTTTGAATGGTTGTCATTCATAAATATGTAACGACTATTATTTTACTACGCACACACACATTCGTAAGGGTCGCTCGGTTGGCAGAAAAGTGAATTTGATCGCACACAGAGGTGTTCGCATATGCATGGTAGTTGCCCATAAATCACTAAATTGGGGATAATTAAAAATGCAGTTAGCAGTAACGTTATTATCATTATTTAAATATTTAAATATAAAATTGGATACTTTTTGATAAATAACCCTGTATACAAAGAATATTATATACTAGTCACTTTAGTTTAATTGTTGATGACTTGTTGGTTTCAAAGAACACGAATCGGTATTATCTAATGGGGTCATTAGATCAATATGACCCATAACAATACCCACCCCATTGACCCATAAACTCTCTAAACTACCTATTGCTAGAATTCTGTCACTCTCAGATAAGGGATATTCTTTAGTCTAACTGCCGATTGACCCGTATATACGTCCGCGTTGGCGCTCTTTTTTATCTACGCCCAATTATAAAATTTTCGTATTTACGCGAATACTACATCTTAAATAAAACTCATTCTATCGCCTTAAATTTTAACTTATTGAAATGTTTGATTTTGCGAGTGCTATGCAACACCCATTTCACAGGAGCAAAGTAGGTTAAAACTAAACGCAATGAAATCCGTTAAATTACAAATTACAATTTTTCTTTCTTTGCAAATCAAATACAAAAGGACTTAGCAACATGATATTTTCTACCAGTCTACATGCTATGCATGAATAAATAAATGCCAAAACTATATTTATATTAGCTCATCAAAAGTCCCCTCTTCACACACATTTGTTTGCCATCGCTGAACCATGATTTGCAATAATGATTATAATTTCTCGTAGAGCACGACACCAAGTCCCGACAGTCCGGCCTCGGAAACGTCAACGGAGAGTCTGATGCACTTGCTGCAACAGTGCGAGCCCAACACCGCCAACAGTATCAAGGATACCGTCGACAGACATGTGAGTAGTACATTTCATTACAACTATTACATAATATATTCTGATGCTAAATTGATTATAATAATACTTAAAAATAATTAATTTAAGATCAGTTTCTGTGTGGACATGATAGCCAAGGGACAATATGGGGTGGTAGAGATATTCTTTTATCGCGTCTTTACGGTTCAACTATATGTGACATGAGAAATTGTTTAAAGTAAAAATTAACGATCTTCTAAAAAGTTCTTCTCAACTTATACTTTTACAAAAAAATTATTAATATTATGTAATGTTACTTCTATATTTATGATGATGACGAAATGTTTGGTGTCTGTTTGGTACAGAAGAGGGAGCTGGAGGATCTAGAACAAGAGCTACAACGGCGCGTGGCTCGTGTGGCGTCGCACCGCGTGAAGGTGGAGCGGCTGCAGCGTGAGCTAGCCACGCTCGGCGCACAGCGGCGCGGCCTCGCCGCAGTGGAGCCAGGTCAGTGAGCACATGCAGGTCGGTGCTGTCACGTGTGCAGTGGGGTCGGGTCAGTGCATTCACGTGCGCAATGGACTCGGTCGCTGCGGACACGTGCGCCGCGGAGCCGAGTTAGTGCGGTCATATGCGCAGCGGAACCGAATTAGTGCGGTCACGTGCGCAGTGAAACTGGGTCAGTGCGGTCACGTCCGCAGCCGAACCGGGTCAGTGCGGTCACGTACGCAGAGGAGCCGGGTCAGTGCGGTCACGTACGCAGAGGAGCCGGGTCAGTGCGGTCACGTACGCAGAGGAGCCGGGTCAGTGTGGTCACGTACGCAGAGGAGCCAGGTCAGTGCGGTCACGTGCGCAGCGGAACCGGGTCAGTGTGGTCACGTGAGCAGTGAAACTGGGTCAGCGCGGTCACGTGCGCAGCAGAGCCGGTTCAGTGCGGTCACGTGCGCAGTGGAACCGGGTCAGTGCGATCACGTGCGCAGCGGAGCCGGGTCAATACAATATACTTCGATGTTGATGACATTTTTTACGTCATATTAAAAATATTTAGCTGAACAATGGGAGAGGCCCCCAGAGATAGCCTTATAAGGAGGATTTTGCTATAATTGTCACGTTTAGCGTTCGTGTTGTCAACCGCTTGAGTTGTTTTAAGGAAGATGCTGCTTCACAATTTTATGCGGTATTTATGCTAGTGATATATACGACCGTTGCCGCGACAGTCGACCGCGGTGTAAAGAAGACTATTTTAGGCCACGTCGTTTTAACGCCTCCCCCCAGTTCTTACGCAGTACATAAGTCATTGGTGGACTTGCAGAAAACGACAGCGACACCCCTCCTCCCACTCCGGACGGCATGAAACGCAGTAAATCCGAGCTGGTGCTGCGGAGACCTCACCGCGACTCGCTCACGCCGGACTTGCTAGACGACGTCGACCCGCTCTCCGCAGCGGAACGAGAACTCTTCCGTAGTAAAAAATTGAGGTAAAACCTGATTTTATATTGATTTCCCTTGATTATACTAACGTCTTAATTGCACACCCTTAAAAACTCTTAATATGAAATGAATTGAACGATAACTACAAATTATACTGCACCGGAGGCCATATAGCAGCAAACTTCTAGTAAAGAATAAACAAAAAATGTTACTATGAGTTGTTATTAGGAAGATGCTACTGTCCATCACCTGTTCCAGCTGCCTTTGTCGCCGCTAGTGATATCAACGTAACGATAGGGCAATGGATATTCTTACATTACCATGACACAGTATATTTTATAAATACTTTGAAAGACAATTTTTAACTGTAGTGAATAATATCGGATTTCTGCCTACCCACACTTTGGATATTCCTCTCTTCTTAAATGGGGAGGAACTGAGTCTTGTTGATACCACCATTTTTCTTGGAATCACACTGGACGCAAAGGTTCAATGGCTCCCCCATATATCAAAACTAGCTAGCAGACTTAGTTCTGCAGCATATGCTGTAAAAAAAGATTAGAACTCTTACCAGTGTTGAAACAGCTAGAATAGTTTACTTTAGTTATTTCCTTAGCATTATGTCGTATGGTATTTTGCTATTGGGACACGCGACTGACACTGAAATTATATTTGTTTTACAGAAGAGGGCCATTAGAGCAATATATAATTTAAAACCAAAAGAGTCACTGAGACAAAAATTTAAGGAAATTAATATTTTAACTCTGGCCTCTCAATACATTTATGAAAATGTAATGTACGTACACAAAAATAAAAGTAGTTTTGAGAAAATAGGTGATATTCATTCTGTAAATACTAGGAGCAGACACAAGCTGGTAGTACCAGTTACTCGACTCCACCGAGTCAGTAATTCATTCTTGGGGCAATGTATACGCTTTTACAACAAAATCCCAGAAAATATACAAAATGTATCATACACAAAGTTCAAAAATGTTATTAAACTAAGTTTGTATAAAAAGGGTTATTATAATATTAAGGAATTTACGGATGATAATAACCCCTGGGACTTAGGGCGTATGATCGCTACCAAGCTATTTCTAATTTGTGTTGTGTTGCTAATTGTAAACATGGTTGTAAGCTATTATTGGAAAAAAAATAGTCCCGCTGGGTTTCTTGCTGGTTCTTCCCAGGACAGAGGTTTTTTTTGCGAACCAGTGGTAAATGAAAAAAGTAACTTTCAATAAGTATTGTTTATAATCTACATTGAATAAAAAAGTTTCTGTTTCTGTTCCAGTCTCAGTTTAAGTTTGGATCCGCTGCCCTCACCAAACTTGGCTCTGCCCTCGGACGAGACGTTCCACACAGCGAGCAGTTCGCCCAAGCCGCTCCCCGGGGACTCCTCCCCCACCTCCCCCACCTATACGCTGAGCGCAACAGACTCCGCACAGGACGAGGGGCTGCGCCCTCGCTTCAAGCTGGGACCTGCGCCGCCCGACGATAGTGACGACATGTCCAGCACTGAAGATTACTCTAAGGTAATCCTATGTTTTTAAAACTTTGCCCCCACACTAGAATTTTCTCAGTTTACAATGACAAACATCCTGACCCGAAATAATTATTTGTAGGCCATACAAATACTTGTTCCGTGCGGGATTTGATCCCGCGGCCTTTAGCGCTGCATCTCAATGCTAAGCCAATGCGCCATATTTGTATTGTATGTTTGGTTGCCATCTGGTTACGGCTTGGCTTGTGAAGTCAATTAAATACACATTATCAAGGATAACTCAAAAACTACTGGTCAATATTGATCTATATTATATGGGCCCAATTTGATCAACCCGAGAAACGCCAGCTTTCAGAGAATCATCAAAATCGGTTCTCCTAGATAAAAGTTCTGAGGTAACACACATTAAAAAAGACATTCGAATCGAGTACCTCCTCCTATTTGTGAAGTCGGTTAAAAATAAGAGAAAAATGGCGCACTCACTGTTGCTTCACGCCAAACGTAAAGTACTTAAAGCAGTGACGTACAGCAGCATGAAAAAGGGTTAGACGTGCTGTACTTTGAATACTATGTACTGTGTACGTGTGTTTCATACGTGGTAGAGCCATGCTGCAGTTATATTATGGTTGTAGCACGAATGGGTCGGCTCGACCGGGAAAGGATCACGCTCTCACAGAATACCAGCGTAAAATAGCAGCTTAATACTGCTGTGTTTCGTATGGTGAGTGTAGAGATCCGGAGACCCGTTTTTACTGAAAACGAGGCATTCCATCTTTGTCCTCAGGGGTGACAACGTATCTGCGTTCTAATTGTTAATCGAGGATAAATGTAGATGTCTATGGAACACAGCATCCACTTACCATCAGGTGGACTGTGTGCTCGTTTGTCACCCTATCCTATAAAAAAATATAGGACCACATGAGAAGCATCAGCTTTCAAATAAAAAACCTGGTGCTTCTCATGTGGTCCCACATAAATTTGATCAAGATCCGACAAGTAATTTTTGAGTTATCCTTTATTAAGGATAACTCAAAAATGATAAAGGATAACTCAAAAATTACTGATCCATGTATAATGTATTCGAAGTCAATTAAATACGTTTTATTATATGTATTTAATTGACTTCGAATACATTGATAATGTTCTCATTTTATTTATATAGAAGTCGGTTGTACAAATTTTTAGTTATACCACTTGTTATTATTAGGAGTATTTTATAGTAATTAACCATATAACAATTTCTATTGCAGCCAAGAATTGTAGAAGGTCAGTCGTCGAGTTCAGTAGAGCGGTCGCCTGAAGAACGACATCAGAGGACCAAATATAGGAAGAGAATACCAGGTAATGATTTACAACTAACATTTAATTCGATTCTTTTTTTTAGATTTTCAGGTTAAAATTAGTCTAACGGAAAATATAAAAGATCTTATAACTATATTATAGTTGTTTTCTGTCTAATATATAAATAATAATACGTACTAATTTGATTTTTTTTAATTATTCTTTATTGTAACCACTAAAAACTAAGAGTTCAAGTCTAATCTTGAGTGGATTAAAAAATTGTAGCAGATATTTTTTTTTATCGAGTTGAGCCTAGTCCTTTCTGTATGCTCTTTCACTGTTCTCCGACTATTTGTGTGATCAGTCAATTATGTCTGCTTTTACTAATGATGAATATGCTGATATTGTAGTCATGTATGGCAGAGCCGACGGTAATTTATCTTTGGCACGACGGATGTATCAAGAGCGATATCCGAATCGAATATTACCAAATGTCAGAATGTTTTACAGCATATTTCGTCGGCTTTATGTAGTTGGAATCCGTCACGCGAAACCTGGTGTCAATCCGAATGACATGGCGCAAGTGTCGAGGTATACATTATTGCAGCTATCGATGCGGTTCCTACTACGAGCGTCTGATTAGTAACTTAAAACCTCAAAATTTTACTATGGAAGGTATAGAATACGATGCACAAAGAAAACAAGTATCCTTTTCACGGCATGGTTATACAAGGTTTGGAAATTGAAGATTCCATACGAAGGATTCAGTTCTGTCGCTTTTTGCTAAATAATGACATTGAAGATGAATTGTTTGTAAAATCCATCTTGTGGACCCATAAGTCAATGTAAACGTGTGACCAGGAGTAATCGGCCGAACGTATAACCAAAATACGTACCTACTTCCTGCCAAATAATTTTAATTGAGACAATTACTTGGAATTCCTCATAAACGATCTCCCAGGGCTTCTGGACGAGGCCGAAATACCAATATTTGCAACGAGAAGACCAATGATCTTTCAGCTAGATGGTTGTCCAGCGCATTTAACACTAAACGTGCGAGAACATTTGAATAATCGTATGCCAGAGAACTGGATTTGCGGAGACGGGTCCATCCCTTAGCCACTTCGATCGCCTGATTTAACTCCTGTGGATTTTTTTGGTTTATGAACGGGTCAAGGAGCTCGTGCTCGCATGTGGAAATATCAACCAGACAGGAGCTAATAGGAAGAATCCATAATTGACTTCAGGTTATGAAGCAGTAGATAAAAATGAGAATTATGACCACAGAAGGGAGAACACGAGCCCGCTCTTTTGTCGGAAACCGCGGTTAACATTTAGATCACGAAAAATAAATTAAAAAATGTTGTTTTATTGGTCTGTTAAAAATTAAAAATATTCGTCCTCAATTTGCTTTGTACACGAAATGACGTATCTATAGATTGGGTCTTCAGATTTCGCTAGAAAGTCATTACGGAGGCTGCACCCTTCAAGATTATGCATCTTGAGAGTGTTCAAAAAGCGCTCACCATGTTTCCGCCGCAAGTAAAGTCTCATTACTAACGATCCTGTGGGATGTCATAACAGTGCGGATTTTTCTATCCAAAGCGTTCAGTTCGGTCTGAGTCTATTCTAATAGAATTGCTAAAATCACAAGTGATGTTTAGAAATTCCATAAGATGGGAGCTACTGGTCCAGCCGTGGGGAGCTTGGCGCCAATGTTACGGCATACTGCCAGTGCGGCGCCAAAAAGAATTGAGCCCGTCTCGAAAAGGTCCCGGCTGGGTTCCAAATAGGTCACCACCATTGGGTTCAGAGCGATTGAGTTATAAACACTAGAGGAGCAAACCACATTACCGCGCGTCAAAAAAAGTGTAACCACTATCCAAACGCGACGACGTAGCTTTGAAACTAATAACAATTTTAAATAAACATATATCTATCTCACTTACACAAGTTGCGAAAACAATATCGTCGCTATTTTCGTTCGTGAGATTAGATAAAGATAGACTCACAAACATGCAATCGCGGGTTGGTGTGGCTTACTATAAGAAATTTTACCTAAAATACGCAATAAAAATGAGTTTTTTTAAGCTGCAGTTAATTGTTTTTATATTAAAAAAGTATATTTTATTTTAAAATATTTATTGCGTCCCCTTAGAAAAAAAGATAAAAACCTTATCAGATGAATAGAAGTGAACATAATGATGAAATAAAACATATTTTTATAAGTATTTTTATTGTACTAATAAATCAAACAATATAAACTAGGCAATAAAATATCATTAATATAAAATTTATACGAAATTATAAGTAATATAAAATTATTAATATAAAATAAGTAGGTAATAAAATATATTTAATAGATAATTCTTGAATAAACTAAAATAACAATAATTAATTATTTTGTATGAAAGTTAAAACGTAGTTTTTATTATAATTTCTAAAATATTTAAAATCGGAGGTGACAAATTAACTTACTCTATTAATTATATAGTCTCCCATTAATGAAGGATATTCATAAATGCGGAAAAGTGGCAACATTGAACTTAAATGGCAATATTCGATAATTTTATTTAATTATTTGAGGTGTTTTACGTTTATACGAAAACAAGAACTAAAAATTATGTGTTGAAAGTGATTCCGCTTGATTTATTACGTTTTTGTGACCTTGAATAGCATTTTCATTTACTTTCACTACGCAAGTGGGGAAGACTGTGGGGAAGTTACAGTCGATTCTAGAGGGGCGCACAGGCGTTTCCTTAATCGCTTCTTCCAATTTGTTCCTCATTTGCTCTTTTTCCTGGACGACTATTCCATCGTCGTCTGAGCCAACCATAAGGAGATCTACGGTGACATCTACGTGTGCAGGTTGCTCTGCAACTGGTAGAATCGCATCTCTTGTTGTATTTCCAACCGACGAGGGAACAGACTCACGTCGTAGTTGTTCGAGTTCGGCGTCATCAAAATATTTTTGAGCGCATTATGTACCTATCTCGGTCTGGCAGGTTTTGCTCGGTGATGGTAATAAATGGCTCCAACTCAACAAAATGGCGATGTATCCTAGCCCCTTAAATACGCCTGCAGTGTGATGTTATTCATTTGAATTATCCATCGCATGCGGCGTACTCCACCAGTGGCGGGTGCCGTTTGCTGAGTCTGAGAGAACCCTGCCGACATAAAGCCATCTGGTGGGGATGATGGATGCGAGGGGCTACTAGGTTGTAGTGCAGCACCTCGTGCCAGTTGGCGTCCAGCGCCAGCGCCAGCTCCAGAGGAGCGACCCCTAGGCAGCGGCCTTTGCGCGTTTTCCTATTGTCCAACATCCATTTTTTTGACCCATTAATTGAAGCCAAGACCGGCACCGTTTCATGGTGGGGCCATATGCAGAAGCGCGTCTTTTTACCTTCAATTTTACCGAGGCACGGCGTTAAAACCTCTTGGCAAGACGCTGACTGACTGCGCCGATGTAACAGTTTTGTCACTTAATTCTTACGTCAGCGGGCGATGGGGTTATCATTTCCCTACGCCTTTATTATTATTATTATTATAAGGTGAGTTGTGTGTCGTGCAGGCGAGCGGGCCGAGCGTGGTGCGCGGCGGCGGCAGGTTACGGAGGCGGAAGCGCTACGCGCCATGCAGCGGCTGTGCGCGCGCATTGCCGACCAGAAGCTGCTCGTCATCTCCTCGCTTGAGAACGACTGCTCCAAGGACGAGCTGCACGCACAGATCGCGGTACCTCATACTACACACTGCACACTGGACTACACAGCTTGTCCTACGCGCAATGCAGCGGCTGTGCGCGCGCATCGCGACCAGAAGCTGCTCGTCATCTCATCGCTTGAGAACGACTGCTCCAAGGACGAGCTGCACGCACAGATCGCGGTACCCCCACACTACACACTACACACTGCACACTACGCACTACGCACTACATAGTTAGTCCTGCGCGCCATGCAGCGGCTGTGCGCGCGCCAGCGTCGACCAGAAGCTGCTCGTCATATCCTCGCTTGAGAACGACTGCTCCAAGGACGAGCTGCACGCACAGATCGTGGTACCCCCACACTACACACTACGCACTACACAGTTTGTCCTGCGCGCCATGCAGCGGCTGTGCGCGTGCCAGCGTCGACCAGAAGCTGCTCGTCATATCCTCGCTCGAGAACGTCTGCTCCAAGGACGAGCTGCACGCACAGATCGTGGTACCCCCACACTACACACTACGCACTACACACACTACGCACTACATAGTTTGTCCTACGCGCAATGCAGCGGCTGTGCGCGCGCCATCGCGACCAGAAGCTGCTCGTTATATCCTCGCTTGAGAACGACTGCTCCAAGGACGAGCTGCACGCACAGATCGTGGTACCCCCACACTACACACTACACACTGCACACTACGCACTACACATAAGTTTGTCCTGCGCGCCATGCAGCGGCTATGCGCGCGCCAGCGCCGACCAGAAGCTGCTCGTCATATCCTCGCTCGAGAACGACTGCTCCAAGGACGAGCTGCACGCACAGATCGTGGTACCCCCCACACTACACACTACACACTGCACATACGCACTACACAGTTTGTCCTCCGCGTCATGCAGCGGCTGTGCGCGCGCCAGCGCCGACCAGAAGCTGCTCGTCATCTCCTCGCTCGACAATGTCTGCTCCAAGGACGAGCTGCACGCACAGATCGCGGTACCCCCACACTACACACTCCAGTAACCAAGACACGCACAGGCGATCCAGACCCATAGAAGTAATGTACAACAAAAAACGCCGAGACTTGGTGTTTGCAACACGCGTTCAACAGTTTACAAAAGATTGTGTTCTCGGTGTTTGTTCAAATACATAGTACATATTACTTCAACGCTCAAACCTTTTTTACCGAAAACAAGGCATTCCATCGTACTGGCTAGCACTGACAACGCATCTGTATTTTGATTCCTAATCGCGTATAGACGTAGAAGTATATGGGCCTATAGTATCCACTTACCATCAGATGAACTATTTCCTCGCTTGTCACCATTATGCGTTAAAAAAATACATACCTGGGTCAAAGATAAGTCCCTCCGGAGCATCTAGTAAACAATTTCTGAATTGTACAAATTTGCAACTAAATAGAACGTATACATCTCATACTCGTCCTTTTAGTAATTACAATATTTAAACGAACACAAGTTCGGACTTTTGACTACCCGTAACGATCGTCAAAAATCTTCTAAATGACAGCCGGTACCGATGGGTTAACGTGCTCTTCTAGGTACATAAAGGTCATATGGTATAGTATAATTAAATGGATGGTCACCCATCCACGGACTGACCTTTGATCTACCAAAGATAAATATTTTTCAATTTTCAATCAATAAGAACATTTTTTTAATACAATAAGATAGCTAAATCATTTTGTTACATATATTTAAAAATTATAAATATGTATTATACCTCTCCCCGCGTGGACACCGCAGTGTGCAGACGTGCTTAACCTCTCGATATACCCATTTTCGTAAAAATATTATAGTAATTAATTTCATAAAAGTGTAGTGAAATAATAGAAGTGCATAAAATCAAGGAGGTGTATGACTGCACCGCGCAAGCAAGAGGAACTCGCCTGTGACGAAGACAAGCATATTGCCGTGAGTCTTTGCACTAACTGAACGTGTTACGAAACACCAATCTCACGCTTAAACCCCTCCAAAGACGCGCCCAAGGCCACACCCTTTTCATCTCGCCTAGTGTGCGTGTACGCAAGACACGCCCCTTGCATCGATCGCCGGCCGTCGGAACATTTAGGCCTAAACACTTGCAATTAAATACGATGTCGGTGCAACGCTCTCCGCCCGGTGGATTATCTCCACCAAGCACTAAAATGCACTATAGTTCAGAACCGACCCTTAACGATATTTCCAACATAGATGAAAATATTCATAGCTATAGCATCACCAAGCGACAGAAACGTACATTTGATGACTTAAAAGATCAATCGAGGTCATCTATATCCGAAATTAAAAATATGTTTTCTGAACTTAAAGAACAAGATCATAAGTTTGAATTGTTGAATAACACTCTCACTGCTATAATGACACAAAACCAAGACTTACAAAAATCGCCCGAAATGTTTATACCAATCGGCATGAAGAATTACTACAAAAAATTAATATCCTGGAACAAGAAAATAACGATTATATGAAGCGAGTGTGCATCTTGGAACATAAATTAGATCACTTAGAAAGGAATGCGAGTAGTACAACTATTGAAATCCGCAACTTTTCCAAACAAAATAATGAAAATAAAGAAGCTCTGACTCACATAGTCCAGAAACTTGGCTTGATATTGGGCCTGGAAACCTCAATTCAGGAATCGGAAATCAGAAACATTTATCGCTTCAAATCTGAGGCACTGGTGGTAGACTTCACCACATGCCTTCTGAAAGAATCCGTTATATCAAAATAAAAAATATATAATGGTAAATATGTAATGGTGTTAATGAAGTGTAAGGAAATGAAAATATTATTATGCTAGGAAATTTTAATGGAAGGGTTGGGGTGAGGAGGCTTAGTTATGAAAGGATATTGGGAACGTTTGGTGATGAAACTATAAATGAGAATGGTGAAAGTCTCCTCACCGTATGTATAGAAAAGAATATTTTTGTGACGAACACTTGCTCTCGCCACAAGAGGATTCACACGTATACTTGGAAAAGAGGTGACGATAGAAGCATGATAGATTTCGTAATTGTGGATGAAAGATTGAGTGGCGCAGTGGTAGATACAAGGGTTTACCGGGGTTCTAACGTAGGTTTTATGCCGAATTAATGGTCTATTCAGGCGTTGGCGCCATCAATCATCTGTGTCTACCACTGCGTTATAGCGTATTAGAACTGAACGGTTACAAGATGAAGGTGAGAAAAAAACAAGTTCAAATGTAGACTGAAAGAAAATATAAGTGGTTTCGATGAATTATGTATGAAGGAGTTAGACTTGGAGAATGTATGGCAAAATGTAAAGAAAGGTTTAGTGGATGCAGCTACCGAAGTGTGTGGTGTTAGTAAGAGAAAAAATGAAAGGAAAAATAATACGTTACGGTGGGATGATGAGATACGTATGGAAGTTGAAGCAAAGAAGAGAGCATGGCTAGATTTACTAGCAACAAAGGCTGGTAATTCTAGCGGTACGAATGATGATATTGAAAGAAAAAAGGCAGTCTTTAGACATCTAAATAAGAGAGTAAAAGAAGTAGTTGAAAGAAAAAAGCAAGAAAGAACGGATAAGAATGATAAAAGAATATCGGATAACTTCCAGGCAAATATTAAAATGTTCTGGAAACTTGTAAGAACTGCCAGGGGACATTCAAAACAGCCTATGATGAATGCTATAAGAGAAGAGAATGGCTATGTTCTGAATGATGAAGTTTTGAGTTTAAAGAGATGGAAGGAATATTTTGAAAGCTTGTTTATGACTGAGGAGACAACGTGTGTACTAAGTGAAGTAGAAACTCCGAAAGAAGAGGAAAGAGGTAGCGAGATAAGTATAGATGAAATAATGAAAGCAATGAAAAGCATGAAAGCAGGTAAGGCTGCCGGATATGATAGAGTTTCACTCGAAATGCTAAGGGCTGGAGAGAAAGTGGTGGCAGGCCTGCTGCACACGTTGTTTAATTTATGCTGGTAACTGAAGCGGGTACCGGTAGACTGGTGCAAAGCCGTGATAGTCCCAGTATATAAAGGAAAAGGGTCGCAGCAGGACTGTAAAAACTACCGTGGCATCAGCCTTCTTAGCATTGTGGGAAAACTTTAATGCTAAGGTACTGATTGAAAGGGTCATGAAAGAAACTGATGAAAAAATTTGGGATGTGCAAGCGGGATTTAGAAAGGGAATGGGATGTACAGATCAAGTCTTTTCCATGATCGCGGAGAAGTTTTTGGCCAAAAACCAAAAGGTTTTTTGTGCGTTCATGGACTTGGAAAGGGCCTATGACAGAGTGGATAGGGATGTGCTATGGCAAACACTGAACTCATTTGGGTTGAGCGCTGGCTTGATACAGGCATTGGAGTCTCTTTATAGGGACTCTAGTGCTTGTGTTAGGATCAACGGGGTCTACTCGGACTGGTTTGACATCCATAAAGGTGTCAGACAGGGCTGTGTGGCTTCCCCGTGGCTGTTCAACCTATTTATGGACAGTTGTTTGCAAAATTTGAAAGTTGAAGAATGCGAATTAAGAATGGGTGAGTTAACCGTCTAATCGCTTTTGTACACCGATGATCAAGTTATTCTTGCGTCGTCGGCGGCCGAGTTGCAAATGATGGTTTATTATTTGCAACTCGGCCGCCGACGACGATTGATTGACGATTTGATTACATTAATGAACAGATCATTAAAAGAAAGGGGTATGAAAGTAAACGCAAGTAAGACGAAGGTTATGGTTTTTGAAAGAAAAGAAAGTAAAGCGATTTGTGAAATAAGAATAGAAGGGGAGTGGATCGAGCAAGTAGATGAGTTTGTATATTAGGGCTGCGTATTTAGCAGGGATGGGAGATATGATAAGGATATAGAACGACGAGTGAATGCGGGAAATAGAGTAAATGGGGCCCTGCACTCTATTGTGAAGAGTCAAAATGTGTCGAAAAAGGCACGTATGGCAATTCACAATGCTGTGTTGGTCCCTACTTTAACGTATGGTAGTGAAAGTTGTGTGTGGCAGAAGAAGCACGAGAGTAGAATGAACGCAGTAGAAATGCGGTCGTTAAGGAGTATGTTAGGGCTGATTCTGAATGACAGGGTAAGAAATTGTGTAATAAGAGAAGAGTGTGGTTTGCAAGATGATGTTGTGACCAGGATTAAGAAAGGAATGCTTCGGTGGTTTGGTCATGTGGAAAGAATGAATGAGGAAAGAGTGACAAAGAAAATTTATGTTGCAGAAGTGAATGACAGAGTCGGAAAGGGACGTCCTAGGCGAAAATTTATCGACCAAATTGGCGATTTATTGAAAACGGGCCAAATTAGGAGTACCCTTAACCGACGAGCATGTATGCGTAGGTGTATGGATGTGAAGGAGGCGAGAGAGGTGTGTCAGGATCGTGCCAAATGGAAGTCTGTAGTCTCTGCCTACCCCTCTGGGTGACAGGAGTGAGTGTTTATGATGACAAAATATATAATAAAGCAAAACGCGAAGGTAAAGAGCCGCAATTAAATTCGGATCACATAAATCTACCAGGTCCACCGCGCCCTATATATATATATATATATATATATATATATATATATATATATATATATATATATATATATATATATATATATATATATATATATATATATGAGTATTTAACAAGTAAATTAAGAATAATATTCTACCTTGCACACGAAAATGTCAAAAGCAGAAAGCTTGTTGCAGCCTGGACAACGCATGGGAAGGTCTATGTGAAAAAGGAGGAGGGAGCAGCGCCAGTTCGTATTGAAGAAGAAAACGACTTACATAAACTAATCATATGACTAGCCACGCTAGGTTACAGCGATCATTGTTTTGTTTTGTCATTTATTTTTTTATTAATTTTTATTTTTACTTGTTATTTTATATGCATGTGCAATTCCTTTACTGTATTTTTTACTCACAGAAGATTTTCAGATATTCACACTCTAAGTCACTACTCACACAACATACACTAATCACACTCTATACTCAATGCACGTTACACAAACGAACTATATCGTCGAATAACAGAATTACTCTAAACTATAAAAACATATCGCATTACTCCCTGGTCAGCCACAAATATCCTAACAGATCAAAAAACACGCATAAAATGTATAATTCTTCAGTCACGAGTAAATTTCCGTGACTGTCATTTTTCATATTACATTATATTTGGCATTTACAAATATGCAAAATATTAAAATTTTAAATTCAGATCTGGATACGATAAAAGTGGCTGAAGCAATCGTATGCGACTTTAACGATATGAAACAACACATTAAAAACAATAATTGCACACTAAACCTTCTTTCGCAAAACATCCGTAGTATTAACCGTAATATGCCTAACTTTATTACATTCCTACAAAGATCCGAAATATTCTGGGATATACTAGTACTTTCTGAATGTTGGTTACCATCGGCTAAGTTCATACCCAATCTCGACAACTACAATTATATAACAACAACAACCCATAAGACCCAGAACGAGGGAGTGGCCATATATTATAATAAACATCTAAAAGTATCTTTTGAAGAACCCCAAATCAACGATGCCAATTGTCTACTATTAAGGCTTAATACCGAAACCTGTGTTATTGACATATATAGACCGCCTAGCCAAACTAATACCGGCAATTTCATAAATTCTCTCGACTCCATTCTGTTTAAACTTAAGAACTATAAGAACATAATTCTCTGTGGCGACATCAATATTGATATTGTCCTGGATAGCTCTGATAAGCGCTCACATGACTACCTAAATGTATTGGCGAGTCATAGCATGCTTCGAGGACACACCAAGCCTACTCGTGGTAGAACATGTCTGGATCACACTATAATTAAAACTAAATTAGTGGCTACTTGTTTCATTTTGGAGTCATCGATTACTGACCACGAAAGTGTAGCCGTTAGCTTTACTCAACCTTCTCGCCCAGAATACTTACATAAGTCATGTTATCGCATTAACTTTTCGAAATTAGACAAAACTATGCAAAAATTTAAATGTCAGAAAATTCTTCATTGCATGGAAGCAAACCTAGCAACAGATCTGTTTCTGAAATATTTAAATAGATGCATAAGAGATAATACCACCTTGATTAAAACACCTAAAAGAAAACTTATAAGGAAACCATGGGTCACCAAAGGATTAATGTGGTGTATGAAAAACAGGGACAACCTTTACAATAAATTAAAAAGGACCCTGAAAATGAAGCACTCAAACTAACTTACAAACGCTACCGGAATTACTGTAACTCTCTTCTTAAAAAGACGAAAAGAGATTATGAGAAACAAGAGATCGAGAAGGCGAAACATAATAAAAAAAAGCTGTGGGAAGCCAAAAAAAATCTGACCAGCTCCAATAGGGTAGTAGATCGCTCATCCTGCCTTATCTCTCCCGAAAATCCGGAAAAAAGTATAACGACATCAACTATTTCTTTGCTAATATGGGACGGAATCTAGCTGAAGACATTATATTACGTTCTGGACACAGAAAATTTACTGAACCTGACGTCTTGTATTCATCTCCCACCAATTCATTTGTCATGCTACCTACCGATGAAGATGAAATCAGCTGATCTAGGGTTTAAGAGACAACTGTGCAGTAGGGCTCGACCAGATTTCCAGCATAATACTCAAGAGATATATACATATCCTTACCCCCCCTATTACCCATATATGTAACCTGTCTTTGTCTATGGGAATCTTTCCCTCAGCATTCAAAACAGCGCTCATCAAACCTGTTCACAAAAGTGATGAGACTTACTGTGTCAATAACTACAGGCCAATCTCTATCTTATCCACACTGTCCAAAATCTTGGAGCGCCTAATAAATAAGCGCTTAATCAATAAGCGGTACATGAGCTTACTAACTCAGTTATAACCAACTTGGATGAAAGAAGAAAATGCCTAACAATATTTCTCGATCTAGCGAAAGCATTTGACACAGTCCCGATCCTACACCTCATAACCAAGCTGGAAAAAATCGCTGTGAGAGCTTACCTCTGCAGTTAATAGCAAACTTTCTGAGTGGAAGAAAGTAGTGTTGGAATATAGAATACAATAACTGAAGAGTTAACTGTCAAATTTGGTCTGCCCCAAGGTAGCATACTCAGCCCAACGCTGTTCTTGATATATGTCAACGACTTATGCCAGCTTCAGCTATACAGAGGAAAAATATTCTCATTTGCCGACGATACTGCACTATTCTTCAGTGGTAATAGTTGGAGGGAGGTCTTTGATTCTGCACAAAGAGGTTTTACTAAGTGCTGCCTCTGGTTACAAAAGAATGGTTGACACTAAACACTGATAAAACAAAATACATAACCTTCACACTTAGGTCGAACCAAAGTCCCCCTCACTCTCTCTCCATCACAGCCCATGTTTGCAACTCTGAGCCAACTATTTGCAATTGTCCCGCTATTCAAAGAACAGACAAAATCAAATACCTCGGAATTATAATAGACCAATCCCTGTCTTTCAAGTGGTACTCACTAAGTTACGCAAGCTCATTTACATCTTTAAATCTCTTAAACTCGTAGCAGACTGCCGAATCATCAAGATGATTGATTACTGCATCACTTGTAGATTACTGCATCAGCTCATGGGGTGGTGCGGCTAAAACCCACCTAATCGAGGTTGAAAGAGCCCAAAGGGCCATCCTAAAAGTCAGTGCAGGTCTCCCGTTCTGCTTTCCTACAGTGGATCTCTACAGAAAGTGGGACGTTCTAACAGTGAGACAGTCTTTCATCGTACAAACTGTTCTAATGAAGCACTCTCAATGTAAATACGATCCGGAGCTCCTAAAAGACAAACACGCAGGAAAGGTTCTGTTTGTCGAACCCAATCCTTCCATTCTGCCACCTCACACAATTTCTTCTGTTTCCTAGGACCATACATGTATAATAAACTCAACAATATCCTAAACTTCTATCCCTTACCTAAATCGAACTGCAAATCCGTTCTTACCAAATATCTGAAAACTTTAGACTATGAAGCGACCGAAAACCTACTAAAGTCGCCCATATAATTTATATTAATGTCGTCGAAGTCTTCATACTTTCTTCTCCTTATTTTGGGTTTAAATGTAATTATATGTTAGTCCTAACTTACGCCACAGCAGGTACGTCCACATCTCACACACACACGCGCGCGCGCACACACGCACACACGCACACACGCACACACGCACGCACACACACACACACACATACACATGCACACACGCACACACGCACGCACGCACGCGCACGCACGCGCGCGGGCAGGCACGCGCCTGCACTAGCTCACACGCACAACTACTCTTTTCATGTTACACACACTTTTTGTTGTGAAATTTGTAATTACTGCAGTTCATTTTGTTTACTTAATTATAATCTCTTTTCTGATTTGTATTCCTCAGTTTGTTACTTTATACGCGGGGGAGCCCTGGTGACCTGTAATACAGGTTTTTTTATACCTACATCAGGCACCAGTCTCTCACAAGTTAGGTACCTGTCTGGCACTTTTATAATACTTAGCACTAAGAATACCTATTGTGAAGAGAGAATAAATGCATTCATTCATTCATTCATTCATTCATATATTGTTAATGATTTGTTTTTGAATATGTCACAATGGCTATATTTCAAATAAAATTTCCGAAATAAAATATAGAATAACAATAAAGGATAATTATATTTTTAATCCGCCAGGTCCTCCAAGACCTACAAAAAAAATATGTCCGGCTGGAAATGGCGCTTCAGTATTCGTTCTTCGACAATCAACCCAATAGACGGCCTATAATGGTGACGCCGATACAAGAGACGCCGTCATTGACTCTGTCCGAGAGTGACATGCAGGTCGCCACCGAACCTGCGCTCGAGCAGGAACAGACCTTCGACGATCCACTGCTACACAGGTGGGGAAAACACTAACATATATTTCTGCCGACTTATATAGGTGAAAGTTAAATACTTTGCTGGTGGGTGCTCCCAAACTAATTTATGATAGCATAAGCTCATAATATCAATGTATTTTGACCTTTTTGTGGTCCTCTTTTTCTCACTAAAAGTCTCGACCCTGGAACATCGACGCTGTCAACTTAAAATTTTTATACAATTATTAATTACCTTTTTACGTTGGTATTCTGTGAGAGCGTGGTTCTGCCCCGGTCAAGCCGACCCATTCTTGCTACAACTTTAATATAACTGCAACGTGGCTCTACCAGATTCAGAAATAAGAGAATATCTAACTCAGGGCCGACAAGACTGATGACGACTTGTTAATTAAATATTAAGTAATTCGTAATTTAAGTATTAAATATACGTGTGTAGTTTAATAATAAATTAAATACTTTTCAATGAAAACTTACTGAATTATAAAAAATATGGTTTTGTATCTTGGGTAAATAAATCGAATTAAACTTTCCTTCGAAAATTTAATATACTACAAATAAAAAGTTTATTTACTAAGGTATAAGTTGCATGCAAAAATACAAATCGCTCAGTGATCTAAAACTCGTCGTTTAACTATTCCAGAATCACACTTGATGATGCCCCGTTTTGAGGCAATATACGTGTTATGAACTATGGTGTGTATGTAATGGAATGAAATGGTATCCGTTTAAGTAGGTACTACCCTTTTAACTATCCTAAAGATATTAATAAATTACTTTGCAACCATCCGCTCAATAAAATAAAATGATGTGTCTTACGTAGTTTAAAGAGCACCTCCTGCCCACCCTGAATTGCGTGCACTAACCCCGTCACCACTAATCTCATCACCACTACTCCCAACATCACTACTCTAGGAAAGACACCATCGACGATAATACGAGACGTGTTTGCCTCTACACGAGGCATTTTCAGGTGATGTAGACTGCGGTGGCTGACCGCCGTGCGGTGCATTCAATTATATATCTCACTCGTCGCGTCGTCGTCCTTAAAGTTCCGCATTTTATTGTAGTCTTTGTTTCCGCATTCGTTTACTAGTAAAGTCGCAAATCGTTGATAGTTGAAAGAAACTGCAACCATTTCACTCGACCAAAACGCAAATCTATTCCATGTTGGATAAGTTTCGTTCTTTAAGCCGTCTTCAAACCAGTTGCAACGACGACCGTTTTCGTCGTCGGGAAATCGGTTGCGTTTCGTTCGTCAAAGATTCGACAACGACCCACCACTAAAAGAAACAACGACATAACGACAGCTGCAAAATGAAGCAGGGTGTTTTTCTCAGTTCATGCACAAACGACGATTTTCAACAGTTTCTGTTTACGTAGTGAATTAAAATATCTTAATTTCTTCGACGTAAGAGATTAAAAATATTTCGGGTATATTATTATATAGTTCATTATTCGCAATGTAGCAGCGTGGCAGTCCTTTTGTTCTCCATAACTTTCTCAGAAATAAGAAAAATGTTCTTTCATTTCATAGAAACAGCAGATATACACTTCTGCTGTAATTTTGCTAATTTTCTATTTTCAGATTAAAGGAAACGGAAGCGGAGGCGTCGGATAACGTGTCAACGTCGAACGACGAGCTGCCGTGCGAGTCCTCGTGGAGCGACCCGCTGCGATCCCGCCGCGATTCCGCAGCGGAACCGCAGCGAAACTCAGTGTCAGCGCCTGTACCTCTACACGTAAGCACTACGCATTTAATATAATTATTTTGAAACCTGTATCTCAGGTGTATGTGCTAATAGATTATACTAACAAATATTTTCTTTTTCTTATATAAAATTAATAACATAGCAACTAATTAGCATTAATTTCATTAAAAAAGAACATATTTATTCATTGCTGGAACTTACTTTTTTAACAAAAAAAAACTTAACAAAATATTAAAAAAAGTTGGATTGCAGCAACAAAAATGCCACCGACTCAGCATAATATGTATATTTTACTTAAAAACATCTGTTAAAGCACTGCCCGCGTAGAGAAATTCCTTACATTATTTTCTTATAGTTAATCTAGGACACGGACTATCATTGTGCGAAATATCGTTTAAAAATTTAAACGCGTGATAGAGTAAAAGCATTTACATATACTGTCACTTTTTATTAGTAATTTTTATGGCCGCAACGTGCCTCATTAAGAGGCGAAATACGGGTTATAGTCTCTTTATATAGCTTTTGACTTTTTAATGTCAGTTTCATTTGAAATATCAAGCTACATTTGATTTTTTTTTGTTTCAGGATCCTACGATAACACCAGGCCTGACGCATCCTATAGATTTTTGTAAGTATTCTAAACTTCAATCAAACATAGCGTAATAGAATCTTTATACGTTCTACTACTGGGCACAGTCCTCATCTAATTCCTTAAATGTTTATCGAGCATTTCCAATATGTGTTAGCGGACTTAGTATGTCTTCGAAATATTTTATATCTTACACATGCAGGTTCCTTTATGTCGTTGGATGCAGGTGCTTCAGGACCGTGCTTTTCTTGGGCGAGGTCTGTATTCAGTTCAGACTTGTAAATGGCTGTAATGATGATGATGATGATGATGATCATATGCAGGCAATGTTTTCCTCCACCGTCGAGCACGTGGTATATCATCAATTAAAATTGCATCGAACTCTGGTTGCTCGTGTATTGTGACTATGTCGAGCAAGTTAAGGCTACTCGTCCTGTAGATATATGCTTTGTCAGCCCAAAGCAAAGCATAGCAACAAGTTGAAGGGGCTAACTCAGCATTTACTTTATACGTGTATAAAACATTGCAAAATGCACAATAAAATGTTCTCGAGCAAATCATTATACTGATATTTGTAAGAATAAGTTATATGGATACCCTTTGTTTCCTGTTGTTCAAACTAACTCTAGAAATTATATTTAATATTGCAAAATACATAATGGAATTCTCTGGAATAAATTATGCCGACATCCATGAGAGCAAGTTATACGACCTTTGTTTCTTTTTGTTTTCAAATTTATTCCAAATTTTATTCCAAATTCCAAAAATTATATTCCATTTTATTGTCGATCTGTTCTCATATTTCGCTCAATAAACGCTGTATCTCTGTTTTATTAAATAAAAATTATATTTTTTATTGAAACCGTATATCCATTCCTTAACTAGCACTTAGTCTCAGAATAAAAAATCTATAAAATCTATGCTGTGGTGTGGCATTTTCAAGGGGTGTCTACCTGAGGGGTGATCCAAAAGTAATGATAATGAAAATAAAACACGGTAATTAAAGTTAAAATAAGAATTTACTTTTCTACATAGTCTCCTAACAAATCAATACATTTAGTCCCTCATTTTTTTCTAAACCCAGGATTCCCTTTGAAAAAAATTCTTTGTCTTGACCCTCCCAAAACGCTTCAACAGCTGCCATTACTTCGCTATTGTTTTCGAATTTCTTGCCTCGGAGGCGTTCCTTGAGACGAGGAAAGAGGTAGAAGTCACTAGGAGCTAGATCTGGCGAATAGGGAGGGTGTTCGAGCAGTTCGAATCCCGTTTCTTGAATGGCAGCCATCGCAACTGCGGCTTTGTGAGCCGGTGCGTTGTCTTGGTGAAACAGCACTCCAGCTCGCAGTTTGCCGCGTCTTTTTTCCTTAATTGCCTCCCGTAATCTTCTTATTTGGTCTGCGTAGTAAGACCCCGTAATAGTGGCTCCCTTTTCCAAATATTCCACCATAATTATTCCTTGAGCGTCCCAAAAAACAGATGCCATAACCTTTCCCGCCGAACTTGAAACTTTGAATTTCTTTGGCGTCGGTGAGGAGGCTCGCTTCCAAGTCATCGATTGTTGTTTCGTTTCAAGATCAAAATGGTGGATCCAGGTCTCGTCCATAGTCACAAAACGGAACAAAAAATTTTCTTGATCTGCTTGGAACTTTTCGAGATTGACCCTCGAAATGTCAACTCAATTTTTCTTTTGCTCGTCGGTTAACATTCTGGGTACCCAACGCGCAGAGACCTTTTTCATATGCAACTCATTCGCAAGGATTCTTTGAACGCTGCCATATGAGATCCCTGTGACCTCAGCTACATGCCTGATGGTCACTCTTCGATCTGCCAACACAACATCTTCGACTTTTTTCACGTTGTCTTCAGTGAGGGACGTGGATGGGCGTTCTTCGCGATGTTGTTTTTACAGTTTAAACTCCTTGGCCCAGCGTGCAACTGTAGAATATGGAGGAGCAGAGTCCCCCAATGTTTCCACTAAGTCACTGTGTATGTCTTTTGAAGACATTTTTTTCAAACAGACGTACTTGATGACAGCTCTAATTTTGTTTTTCTCCATGTTGATGTTATCTCTTTGACAGTTCGTATTCAAATGAATGTATCTCCCGGAAATCGTGATCTATTTATATGATTTTTTTAAGCTGACGTAGTGAGTATATAAGCAAGCAAAAAACATTTTTTTTTGGATTTTAAATGCGGACTTGAAGTAACCGATTATCATTATTTTTGGATCACCCCTCGTATGTTGGATAATGTTGATTAATTGGTCTTTTTTATTTTTAATAAAACGTTACCTCCACACTAGGATTTTCTCCTATATCGTGGAAGTTAACATACATAAATTGCACAAACTCAAACATTTTGACCCGGGATAATTATTTGTAGGCCATACCAACACTTGTTCCGTGCGGGATTTGAATCTTCGTCACTTAGCGCTGCAACTCATTGCTAAGCCACTGCGCCACGGAGCCGTCTATTATAATTGCGGTATAAAAATATTTAAGAGTGCAATTTGATTGATTGTAGCTGAGGTGGTGAGCATACCGGGCTGGGTAGTGCGTGGCGCGGGCGCGGGCACTCACCACGAGTACGAGGTGCGCGTGTGGCTGGGTCCGCACTGCCACTGGCAGCTGCTGCGTCGCTACCGCCGCTTCCGCGAGCTCTACCTCGCCATGCGCCGCCAGTACGGACACAAGGTGAGCCTTAATTCCTTAATATTAAAATAACCCTTTGTACACAAACTTTGTTTAATAAAGTTTTTGAACTTTGTTGAGGTCATACGCGCACGCGCGCGCGCGTATGTATGTGTGTGTGTGTAACATAGTAAACATGGGTATTTCTTAAAGGCTAGCCAAATTTAATAACTACGTTCAAAATATAAATACTGATATAAGCTTTTTGCAGTTTTTAAAAATACGCGTAAATAAGGTTTCTACGTTTATTTCAAAATATCCGAAATCGAATGTGATTTATGTGCAACAACTACAACGTACGCGCTCGTGTGTGCACGCGTCAGTGCATGGAGCTTTTGCCTACTTTATTTTTTATTTTATTCTTTTATAATAAAATTGATACATAAAAGTAGTGCCTGCCTAGCGTGATGGTTAAGACAAATTTTCCATATAAGAGAAGCCCGTGGAAGTGGATTTTAGCACACATCGAACGTGAAGCAGAGATGTAGTGCTCTATTTTCACCAAAACGAAAAAATCTCGATCCACTCAACTTAAATCAATTCCACTAGCTTTATATTGCACTTAAGTATATAATAAAAAGTACACCAATAGCAAAAGGAAATTTCAATTATTATTTCTGACGTAGTTATAAGATTATTTATTTCGATTATCATTCAAAAAAGTTCATTGAAAGTATTTTCAATCAGACGTCAGATGGTCGGTATGGATGTGAATAAAATATTTTTCGAAAGACTGAACTTATTTTTTTATTAGTTTTATATTTTAATCCTGAGAAAGCCTTTTGAATTTCACTATTGCAAACCGTCCCGTTCATCAATATTTTACAATTTTTCCGTACCAAAATACGAATCACCGGTATCAAGCAGTAAAACGATCGTGTTAATTAAACAGAAACAAAGTTTTTGTAATTTTAAACGAAATACGTGTTTCGGTAATTAATAAAAGTAAATTGATTATTCAAAAGAGGCGTGTACTTTTGGATTATCCATTTTTTTTAATTTAATCCGCAACTTGTGACAAATATTCGAGAAAAGAGCTTACTCCTTCCTAAAGGACCGGCGACGCATGTGCATTTCCCCTGGTGTTGCGGTTGTTCGTGGGCGGCGGTAGTCACTTAACATCAGGTGAGCCGCATGCTCGTTCGTAGTCCCAACTAGTGACATCTAGTGAGCGAGAGATTATTAGCCCTCATTGTAAGTTGCTCCTCAAAGTTATAGAGAGCAGTATAATTACAGGCTGTGAGGCATTCCATCTTAGTCCTCAGAGATGACAAGGCATCTGTAGTTTTCTTCGTTTAAAGTTAGCTACAAGTGTCTATAGATTGCTGAACCCATTTAATGGAGTGGAATGTAAATTCCTTTGTCACTTGGTGTAAGGATAACACACCTGTCGTCTTCTTTAGTCAGCTACATTATGGTTGTAGCACGAATGGGTCAGCTCGACCGAGGAAGGATCACGCTCTCACAGAATACCAGCGTCAAATAGCAGCTTGATCCTAGTGTGTTTCGTATGTTAAGTATAGAGAACCGGAGACCCTTATTATTGGAAACGAGGCATTCTATCTTAGTCCTCAAATTGTTAATTAGGGATAGTTGTAGATGTTTATGGGCCACAGTATCCATTTACTATTAGGTGAAGTGCACGTTTATCACCCCACGGTGTGAGTACCTGTAGTCTCCGTTTGAGGTTGGCTGCATGACTACAAGCCAGTTAGCGTAAGGCGTAGTGGAGTGTACAGGTGTCTATTAGTTGTCCCTTAATATGTCCTTCGTTTGAAGTTGACTGCAGGACTGCAAGCAGTAAGTGTCATATATAGTAAGTGTGGTGTGGCTTGCAGGTGGCGAGCATCCCGTTCCCTGGTCGCGCGCTGTGGTCCTCGGAGGCGCTGGCACGAGCGCGGCGCCCGCAGCTGGAGGCCTTCCTGCGCCGGCTGCTGGCCGCGTGCGCGCGCGACTCACGCTGCCCGCTGCACGCCGCGCCGCTCACGCGCGATGCGCTCGTCGCCTTCTCGCCCTTCTTCAGGAAGGTACGCATCGCTCTGTCTCACTCTCTCACAGTAGACAGGCTACAGCTTCATGCGCCGGCTGCTGGCCGCGTGCGCGCGCGACTCACTTTGAAGCGCGAAGAAACGCGAAGGCTTTGAAGATCACCTCCCGCCCTCCCCCTATTCATGCACTATCCCCATCATCCCTTATTTCAACACTACCACTCTCAGCACCACTACACTAGGAAAGGTACACCATCGATAATATGATACTTGATCTCATGTAAAATGGACACTGACCGCTATTATTAAGATTGCCTCATTTAGAGGCGAAACACGTGTCGAATTATCAACGGTGGTGTATCTTTAGAACCTCGGTATACATTGCAATTTATTATTTTTTCTTTATTTAATAAAAACGTTACCCCCACACTATTATTCGCACGTGTATATCGTTGAGTCGTTGAGGCATAAATTGCACAAGGACAAACATCCAGACCCGGAACAATATTTGTAGACCAATCAATTACTTGTTGCGTGCAGGATTCATACCCCTGGCTCCAAGCACCGTAACTCAATACTAAGCCACTGCGTTACGGAGCCGTCATAAAGGATCTAGCATGGTTCGGTTCAACCTAGAAAGATTACAATACACACAACAGCATAATTCTGTGTCGCACTTTTTTTTTAACAATGTAGCCCTTATATTGTGGTTATGTCACAATAATTCTGCCAGTGTCCAGTCTTTGGTCTGTCACACCTTGTCTTGAGACTTCTCGGTGGGAAAGGAGTTGTCGGTTATTAGGTGACACAGTGGCTAAAAACAAAACACGACTAAACACACGAGTTATGGACAACCCAATGTAGAAGTAGAATAAACATTTAGGTGTAGGACGGGAATAGCATAAGCAGGGAATGTTATCTATTAACCCTTAAATGCATGATTTGTTCCTATTACGTAGGAAAAATATATGTAGTAGACATGTACATGCCTAGGCAGGGAAAAATAATAATAAAAATAAAAAATCATTTTTTATAGGTTTTTATTAAAAAAACAACTGTTGCATATATACAATGGGTGCGTTTTGCAGAAAAAAGCGCTAGCAAGCGCTTACAAGCGCTGAAATAGTTTTCGGCCAGGACACGATTGCTACTTTAGTAGCGCTGACACAATCCGCCATTTTGCTTATTTAATTTGTTTGTTTTGAAGTAGAGTTTATAAGTTGTTTTGTGCAATATTAGTTTTAAGTAATATATTGACATGAATAAACATATATATGTTATTAAAAATTCATGATTGGTAAGTTTTTAATATGAATACTTTACAAACATATATTTAAATTAGGTTAGGTTCTCCGTTAAAACTAACATCGTGTCCCGGAGGAAAATAGCTACTTACGATTTGACAGCGCTTACCGTTTACGATCGCCATTTTGCTTACAAGCGCTTGCTAGCGCTTTTTTCTGCCAAACGCACCCAATACTATGCATTTACTAGAAATAATTACATATGAAAGTTTTTAAAACAATTCCTAGATTTAGTAAGGCAAAGGGTTACTCCACACTTCTTACACTTTGTGTATATCCCTTGCACCCAGGCATTTTGCATCTACTGCGGGCGCAATCATCAGGCCAGTGACCAACATTATCTGTCCTGATATCTTTAGGTGGAACATGCTGAACTGGTCCTCTACTTTTCTTGGCTTGTATTGCCATTTCAACGCTGTTACTAGTGCTGGGCCTTCCTCGTTTGTGACAGAGTTCAGATGCATTATTTATATTAGCTAGAACCTCAGCTAGTTCCAGTCTATATAACTGATGAAGTTGCTTCAGTACCTTTCAAGTCTTTATAAACAAGCCAGGAATTTATTACTGTCATATCCAACAGATGGTAAAATATGCGTAGGTATCACTTACGGCTTCTCATACTATACTATACCTACCAATGAAGCTATCCAGAAGATCCACCCCGCCCATATGGGCATTATACTCTTTTATTACACGTGGGCATGTAATCTTGATCCTGGTCTTATTAACTTTGTCAAATCTTTCTACTAGAGTAACAGGTTCTGCACCAACATAGGAAGGTGCCCGTTTATTGTCCTTCCAACTTACAGCTGTCAAATCAACACCTTCAAAGCTAGTCATTTGCTCTTCATAACTACCCCGGGGAACAGATTTCTTCATTAGTGATTTTTTGTCAGGTAGTTTGCAGTTTACAAGTCTGTTAGATTGTACAGTACCCAGGCTATAGATCCCTTGTTTAGCAAGATAGGTAACTAACGGAACAGAGATATAAAAATTATCAAAATATATTATGTGGTTGATATGCCTTGGGACACCTCTGGCTAGCCGGATAATAACATTCCTCACTGGTCCAAAATCTGGTTCATCTTTAAACCATTCATTCTTTTGACCAGTGAAGATCTCAAATTTATGAGCATAGCCTTTTTTACACTGCATATTACATATAATTTAAACCCCCATTTATGTGGTTTTTTATTGGGCAGATATTGTTTCATGAAGTGTGGTACTTTTGTAGCACACATCCGTTCATCAATAGATAATATTTGTTCCGTAGCAACAGTTGCAAATTTCTCATTTAGATGGCTAAGTATAGCGCTAATCTTATGGAGCCGATCATGTTGTGGGTGTTCCCTGGGTAAATGTGTTTCATTGTTGTTGAAATGGAGATATCTTCTAATAGTCTCAAATCTGTTGACTGTCATAATTTTTTTGATTGGTTCAAAACCTACAGTATTAGACCAGTAAAGCCTAACATTGGGATGTTTTATGACAGACATGTATAACAATATTGCCATGAATTTTTTTAGTTCAGTTTCAGATTAATTCAATGGTTTTGTTACATTTTTTTGAACAGAGTATAGATTAGACTCTTCTACGATTTTCTGAATTATTCCAGATGTAATAAAATACGAAAAAATACTATATGGAGTACCAGTAGTAGTTTGATCCCTCAGTTCTGGTGGGTATGTGGTGTTGCCAAGAAAAGTAGTCTGGTCAGAATTCAAAACAAACTTTTTCACCTTCCAAACAAGTCCTTTCATGGTAGCTCGGCGACTGGCTTGACTTGTTGATGGAAATGGAACCTGAGGCACTTGATCATTTGCAGGGTTTTCATTTGTCAATGGTGGGTCTTCTGCTAAGATAGTATCATCATCATCTTCATCATTTTCCTCCTCAATAGGATTCTCATGATCACGAAGTATATCTTCTCGGTTTTCATAAAAATTTTCATGTTCTTCTGCATCAGACTCCTCAAGATCATCTTCAGATCTCTCTCCGTCATTAATTTGAGCTAAATATTGTTCTATTTGCTTCTGATTCAAGGATGACATCTCAAAAAATAAGAAATTAGTGATCAGAACCTAAACAGCGACATTCTCTAGTAAATGCAGTGTTGTAGATTTACAACATCAATATCCACGAGATTTTATAAAAAGCCAAATGTTTATTTTCCAAACTAATAACTATATCGAAAAAAAGATGAATTATTCTATATAAAAACCGTTTTTATTTGTACTCACCTTCAAAAATTAATTAATTACACAACAAAATAACCTTCTCCAGAATTCACAATAGTCTTTGCTTTGTCACTGCCAAGTTGAAATTTGACAGTCGTGAAGGAATAAAATGTGTTTCCATTCGATAAAATATGTTATCCACTAAACGCATACCGATGATTTTGAGGCCGTTTGAATGGTATGTTGTAATTTTACAACATGATGCATTTAAGGATTAAATCGCATTTAATTTTAGTTTTTAGGGTATTTTTATTAAACTGAGGTGACATACTTCAGTTTAATTGATGGTAAGTAAATATTGCAGTCCATGGACATTTGAAGTTAATTTCAGATAAGGAAAACTACAGACAGATTCGTTGTCAACTCTGAGGTTTAAGTTTGAATGTCTCACAGCCTGTAGTTATTGCTCGGCAGTTTTTATTGTCTTAAGCCCAAGTTATTGCTGTAACGTGTGTAATGTTACAATTATATTGCATCTCTATACTCTTTAAATCAGAACAGCACGCATTCTGCTTGACGGCAGAAATAGATTAGACTCTTACGTAACCTAGAAAGTACATAATACACACAATATGAAGTCCTATCATTTAGTAATATGATAGATGTACTCGGTGTCCGTGGGCTTCAGAATCTATGCTCCAATATTACCATCAGATTGACTGTAAGTTTGTTGGTCACCATTATTTTTGTAGAAAATTCTAGTTTTATACAAAAAGGCCGTGTAGTGGCGGTGTAAGAATATCCATGACCACATATCGTCCCGTGGATGTTGTAAGCGAAAGAGGGGAAAAAAATCGAAGCCTGGCAGTAGCATCTTCTTAGGGTAGAATAATGTTGTTATGTATAGAATACTTATTGAATGTTATTTATACTTTTACCACTAGTTCGGAAGAAAAACCTCTGTCCTGAGATGAATCATCAAGAAACTTATTGGGACTATTTTTTAAATATTATACAATATAATTTGTTGTATAATTAAATATGAAGTGATTTAGAAACAGTAGCGATCACTTTATTTCTGGGGGTTATTAACAAATCATGTAAATTTTAGTAGTATAATAATCCTTAGGCAGTGTTTGTTTAGTTAAATTCTTAAACTTTTGATGGAAAAGCGCTGCATATTTTTTGGGACTTTGAAGTAAAAGCTGAAAAACCCATGAAGGAGTGTTTGATTAGTTTTGGAGTCGAGGAACTGATATAAGTAGCTTGTGATTTCTTGCATTTACAGAATGTACATCACTGTTTTTAGTAAATCTTATTTTTGTTTGTTTGTGTAAATGCATAAAATGTTCTTAAATATAATAACAGTTAAAAAATAGAAAAATGCTGTGACGAACCTATCTGCCAAGTTTTTTTTTATATACAGGATAGGATGACAAACGAGCACACAGTCTACCTGATGGTAAGTGGTAGCTGTGGCCCATAGACATCTACATTTATCCTCGATCAAATCGAATCAAAATGCAAATGTGTTGTCATCCGTGAGGACTTAGGTGGAATGCCTCGTTTCCAGTAAAAAGGATCTCCGGTTCTCTACACTCACCATACGAGACACAACAGCATTAAGCTACTATTTTATGCTGGTATTCTGTGAGGGCGTGGTCTTTCCCTGGTCGAGCCGACCCATTCCTGCTACAATTAATATAACTGCAGCATGGCTATACCACGTAATATGTGTGGCATCTATATCAAATATTTTCCGTATAAGAAAAGCTGGAAGGCATGTTCGGGGGTGGATCTTTGATAGGCTGTAACAGTAAGTATATAAAAAGGTGTTTGCGTGTTTGGTTGTGCAGGGCGTGTTCGAGAGTGGCAAGTGTGGCACGGGATGATCCCGCGCGGAGCAGAGCGCGGCGCGCGCGCTGGCGCACTCGCTGCTGCGGCTGCTACGTGCGCTGGCCGCCGCCGCGCTTCTGCTGGCGCGCTGCCTGGCGCTGCTGCTGCTGCTGCTCTACCTGTGTGCGCCCGCGCGCCGCTTGCGCCCACGCACGCACAGGTAGGCGCGCACCACTTTACCCACGGAGCCGGGGGAGGGGGTTATAGCAACGGCAAACTCCATACGAAACAAAGCTCTCACCAACATTAGATATAGGAAACAACACTTCAGAGAACTCTAAGAAGATATGTCTACACATGTCCGGCTCGAAAGAATCAAGACTTGTTATGTCAGACTTTCACCCATTATAAACCCACGCACACTAGACGCTCACCGGTACTACTGGGCGGAAGGAAGGGGGGGCGGGGATAGAAACGTCATAATCATTCGGAAAAGCTTTCATGCACGTTAGATATAAGAAAAAACATCTCAGAAAACTAAGAAGATATATCTCCACATGTCCCACTCCAAAGGACCAAACTGCGTTATGTCGGACTTTTATCGATTATAAGCTTACGATGCTACCTTGTCCTGCAATGCGTGACGAGGGAAGGCTTGCACACACACATACTAACCGCTACTATCAGTCTCCCCTCCTGCCCTTATATAACTAACAAATGAGAAGAAGGTTCATGGACTAATTGTGACCGTTGCACATGTTACGCACGTATTGATTAGAAAGTTCTAACAAACTTATATTAAGGCTTCAATAAACAATTTCATACAGCTAATAAAAAAATGAGATCTTCAGTTAGTGAATAATATGGAAATGAGAACCTTTATATACTTATATTACTGTGTCCCATTTTAATGTTATATGAATTCTATAGAACCTAAAATAAATGGAAAAGACCATGATTGTCTAACATTAAGTCGAAGTTAGTAATAAATATTTGCCACATTTTTTTAGATATTAAGTGCTAAGTAGAGCGTTATACATTTGTCTTGAATTGAAACCCCCGTGAAACTTATAATATATGGCAAGTCCTTACAACGGTAGAGGCCTATTTCCATCTGACTATTTTGCAATGATGAATAAATGTTATGATATATAATTATAAAAATGTACAAGAATTTAATCCTCCTACCCTCGTAAAACACCGTACTCCTCGTAACAGCACGACATATACCTAGGGTGCCTTTTATCTTTATTAGTTTACTTTCAAATTCGATTTTTAAATGGCAATAATATTAATATTTTTCATATTGATCGTATATTGATTATAGTAAGAAATCTGTTTTCATTCAATTAATAATATAAAGAAACACGAAATATTTACAGAGTTGAAGATTAATTATTCGTATGAAAATTATTTTAAAGTCTAATACAAGACTGCCAATAACACTTAGTTCATTTAGTTAAAATTCTAAGCAATTTTTGCACAACTAAGATAGCACAACAAATCATATTTGAGATTGCAAAATAAGGATTTTAACACATACTTGTTTTTCGTTAATAATACTCGTTTGTTGTTGGGTATTTAAATGAATGTTGATCATGGTTTTCTACTAAAAGAAAAATCCCTTTGTTTCGAATGATTGTTCTGATATTAATTATTAGATTCTACAGCATTAAAATTGATAAGGTACTAATACTACTAAACTAAACCCCATTTTGAAAAAAAATCATTTGTAGATTAATTGTACGAATTGTTTGTATAAAGGTATAATATAGACAATAAATTTTCTCCGTCGATGCTATGGATGAATAGTCTTCCTTAGCTATTGTCAATTGAAGGCACTTTCCCACACCGATAGCAAGTCCTGTGTGATGGCACACGGTAACTAAGTTACTTTTCGTTGCTCTGTGTTAGTGTGGACTTATGAGTAATCAGTCTTATGGCCAAATATTCAAACGATACTCAATTTTTAGATGTTGTTAAGTCTCTTCGTGACGATAAATAACCAGTTTCTATCAGTAGCTTAACTACCTGGCTGCTCATGAATATGGTAGGAAGAAGTATTAGACCCTACAGGCCCTAACTAACTTCCCGATACCTAGTAGTCCCTAGCAAACCCTAATAACCTAGCCCTAAAGTGATAGAGACAGCGTGAGACTTAACGGTATCTTAAAATTGAGCAGCGTTTGAGTAATTGGGCATTATCATATTAAGACATACATTTTGTAACAAGTTATTTGAATTTTAAGATAATTCTCTATACTTGACACAGTATAAAGTAAGATTCGGTGTTTAATATTTTGTCTACATTTGTTTTCCTTATTCCCTTTTCCATGAACCTTTGGGAAAAGTTTCAATAAAGTTACAATGGTATCTTGATATACTGCAGTGTAATTAATACTTGTAATGCGTGCAAGTAATGTTTTTATAAAATTTGTCAGACTGTGCGTTGATATATATTATAATTACAGTATATTTTATATGTAGAATGCACCCAAAGAATGTAGTGTATTTTTCCACATGGCAACCCCTTTGATATCATCTCTTCGAATGTTGAAGGGACCGTAGATTAAGATAGTGATAACTAGGTTTAAAGCCGGGCTAAATGCAAATTGTAGGCCGCAGTAAATGTTAAACAATTAAACACAAATGTGGCAAATTTATAAATTTAAATAATAACAATATATATATTTTGTATATTAAGGAATGAATACAAAAAAACGCCATATTTTTCATGCATTTTTTTTACTCATGTGCGAATGGTTTTCGTTGATAAAGCAACATTTGTTGTTAACTTATAAAATACAAATTTGCAATCTAAGTGATATAAGCTTTCAATATTTAATATAAGTTATTTTTAAGCAATATGAAATACTGATCAGTAGTTACTTAGCAATTTAAAAACTTTGATGTAGATCAAATAAATGGCCTGATCGATAAAGTGTATGAAAAACCCTATTTTTTTCAACCCTATCACTTTTTAATATTTAACTAATTGTTAAGGCGAATGATGATACGGTTGAAATTTCAACGTCATA